ACTGACTGCCTGAGTGACTAACTGCGATACTATGTGACTGACTGACTGCCTGAGTGACTAACTGCGATACTATGTGACTGACTGACTGCCTGACTGAGTGACTAACTGCGATACTATGTGACTGACTGACTGCCTGACTGAGTGACTAACTGCGATACTAAGTGACTGACTGCCTGAGTGACTGACTGTTTGATGTCTGAATGACTGACTGTCTGACTGACTGAGCGAGTTTTTAAAAAAATTATATTTACCTTTGAAATAGTCTGAGGACTTTATTTTGCAATTTACTATGGTAGCTTTGTTTCTGTGAATGTGTTTTAAGTACCCATGTCAAAGGATCTCATTGCTGTTTTTTTGTTTCAGGAGTATTAGCAGTATTACAGGGGATTGTACTTGGGTCCACAAAATCAGTGATGGGCTTTATCTTCACCTCTGATGAGTAAGTTAGTAGTGCCACAAATAATAAGCAGTCTTTAAAAAACACGTCATCATGCAGGGGTGGAAAATTACTTGACTGATTATACTTTGTTACATATTGTTTTGGAAGATCTGTACTTTGGAAGACTTTTACTTAATTACATAAAGCAGTTCTCACTTTTTGATTTAGAGCTTTATCGTACTATAAAACTGTGGCGGATCATTCATGTTAAATTAAGAGATCTTACATAAGGTTAAATTAATATATGGAGTGGTGTTTCTGAAATAAAGTCGTTCTCTGCTTTTGTTTTTCCCTCAGGAGCATTGTTGGGATTGTCTCAGAAAATCTGACCTTCTATGTTTTCCTACAGTTTTTTGATGCCCTTGTGGTGAGTCGTCATTCCTGTCTCTTGGAAGTTGTATATTATTATGGCTCTGTCTTTTATAGTAATGATGTTCACTTTTCAATGATGTCATAAGGAAAGCTTTTCCCTCTTTTGATTGTGCCATAAAGATTAGCTTTGATCATTTCATAACCAAGTGTTCTCTCTTATGATGCCTGAATTGCACTGTTTATGATATCTTGCTAATCTTTATGATGTAACACAGCATTGTCTGTTGTGTCTTTTCCACTAGTGTGTGAGTTCAGGGATTCTTCTGGGTGCAGGGAAGCAAAAGATAGCAGCCATATCCAACCTGATCTGTTACTACTGTATCGGCCTACCTTTGGGAATATCCTTGATGTTTGCTGCAGAGCTAAGGATTCTGGGTAATTCCCACTCCTCACATTTCCATCCCCCTTCTTTAAATACCACTTGCGCTCTCGATTTCGATTATTAACCTATTCATGTCAAATTGGCAAAATGGCACAGAATTTGTTCGTACTAGTCTAAATCATGGATGTCTAAACCTTTCCGCTAAAGGCCAGTGTGGTCTAAATATATAATGACCCCCTCCATCTTAGTCATTTCCAACTCCACCTGCTTGGTATCCAGCTAGGTATCCCCTCATCACATGATGCTACCAAGCTGGGAGGGCGAAGGCTAACACATGCTTCCTCTGAGACATGTGAAGCACCACCACTGCCAATTCTGTTATGACAGTTAAACAGATGCCTGCTAACTGAGGGAGGGCCATCCTACCCACCCAGAAATAGCGAGGCCAAATACTCTGTCTTGGACTGACTCGCAATCTTCCGACAATAATATAGCCGTTTTATCATCACGTTCATTTTTTGGCAACTGATGAACACACTACAGCCCAGCAATTGCAGTCGGATTGTCACGCCTGTGGTGTGATGAATTCATATTGAACTTGGCCAAATATAGATGTGACAATAAAAAGAATCGTATCTTCACATATTTATCAAAACCATGACTTTCTCTTTTTCTGTTTTTTAACTCCTCAGGCCTTACACTCGGCCTTTTGGTGTGCGTTATCATCCAAGCCTTCTTCTTCATCACACTCATCTTCAAACTCAACTGGCAAAAAGTGACAGAGCAGGTATGGGTCGAGGAATGGAACTTCTCCTGCTTCTTCTCCTGAGTCAAAGTTCATAACTTATAAAATGTGTTACTGAGTAAGTTGTCTGGAGTATGGAGCTCAAGCCTGGTCTTAGCTTCTGCATGCTTTAACTCCAGGCAAAGAAACGTGCTGGAAAGAATGCAAATGTGGCGTGTGTAGCGCAGAAGGGGCCTGTTGGTGTACCAGTCATTGACACTGTGGTTCCTGAAGGACAGGACAGCCTAGAGCAAACGGCTGATGGAGGAAGTGTGGTGAGTTTTTATCAGAAAGGCAAGATCACTGACTGTTTTTATCATGTGTGAGATGCAAAAACCAAACACTGAAATGCACTGAATTTATGTTTCGCCTTCATGGTAATTTTGCAGCGATCTGAAGTTGTCAGTTCAACTGCATCCGTTTTGAAATGTTAGTGACAATTATAATGAATTCTAATAGCATTCAATTTTGGCCAAAATACAATTCGCTTTTTTTTCAAATTATATAGTCAGCTCCATAATTATTGGCACTCTTGGTGAAGATGGGTTAAAAAAGGTCACAGAAAAGGTCTTTGCGGTTAATTAGCTCAAGCTCATCCAAGAATTTTTTTTATGATTCATGAAAAACTACAGTCTGAACTGTGTCTGAACTAAATGATGTTTCCATGTATATTTCATCTTATTAACATTACATACATCTGAGTCTTCCTGCTTCACTGGGCTATAAATATGAGTGGACACACAGGCCCAATTCCCTTAGTCAGTAAAAAAAATACATAAAGTTAAATCGGACAAAGTGTGCAGACCTTCATGTGTGAAAAAAACCCATATCCACTGTTAGGGCAATAATTAGGAAGTTTAAAACAACCAGAGCTATAATGAATATTTCTAGAAGTGGAGATAAGTGAAGAGGATAATTAAAGAGACAAAAATGGATTAAAGTTGGAGATTTGCAGAAGATGGTAGCATTATGAGATCATCAAGTCTCCAAAACTACAATTAGATGCCACCTCCGTGCCAACAATCTATTTGAAAGGCATAACAAAAAAAGCCTTTTCTTACATCTAATCACAAACATAAGCGCCTGGAGTTTGCTAGATGCTTCTGGAACTTTGACTGGAGATGAGTTCTGTGGTCAGATGAAACAAACAAACACTCAAGGTTGGTTTGACATTAAATAAAGGATGGCTATACAAAAAAAAACTCAGCTTGACTTTTAGGTATGGTGTGGGGGTTTGTGATGTTATAAGGCAGTTTCTCCTCCAAATGCTCTGGGAACCTTGTTAGGATACATGGTATCATGGACTGAAGTACCTTGAGATTTTAAATGAAAATCTGGCTGCCTCTGCGAAAAAACTACAACTTGTGGTTAGATTTTCCAGCAATGATCCAAAATTTCCAAATCCACACAAAAATGCTTAAATAACCTGAATGCATTTAAAAAACCATAATAAGAAAAGACTTTATGTTGTCAAAGGAGGTTGCACAAGGTACTAATGCAGAGATAATGTTGACACATAGTATTGTTAAAAATATTTTTGCTAAGGTTTTACTTTTCTTACACTAAATTTAGTTTGATTAAAGGTCAGCTTTTCTCATAATTTCAGTGTGAGTTTGCGCAAAGACATTTTTTGAACAAAGTTTGAACAAAGACATTTTTTCAGGACCTTGATTTACCAGTCTTTACCAAAGATCCCAATAATTAATTTGCAGAATGTACATTTCTTTTTACTGTCAATATTTCACTGCTGTCTCCAGTCACGTGTGTATTCAGTGTATATTTTAAATCCAATTCTGAATCTGACAGAAATGCGCTGTGGGTGTGCTGTATTAAATCATTTTTGTTACAAAACATAATCTAATCAAATAATTGCAAGATCAGAGATTTCATCTTTCTACCGCAATAACTTATGAAATATATTTCTTCTTTCCACTTTAGGTGCAGTCGGTAAGCGATGCCTCTAAAGTGAGTGGGTACGCTCTAGTGAGCACCAAGAATCGAGAGAAAGGTGAAAGTGGAAATGCTGGAGTGGAGGATGAGGAAGGAGGAGAAGGCCGGCCCAAAAAGCTGCTCTCTGTCCCGCAGCTGGTGCTGAGGAGAGGGCTCACTCTCCTGACTGCTGTCCTGATTCTGGCAGTCGGGGTCGTGGTCCACCTGACCTGCCCCCCACCAGAGCCCTTCGTCCAAGTTAGGAGTAACTTCACCATGGACTTGTGGAACTACACTACCCCTGCTAGCTTCCCGAACTCTACAGCCAGTTAACCGCTCTCCACTGGAACTTATTTCAGAACAATTTATGCCAGTCTTCAACACATACGGCTACCTGTTCAATCAAAGCCATCAGGAGGAATATGCTGTTCAGCCAGTGCTGAGCACGTTTACCAAACCAGTGTTAAGAAACTCCTCCTTGCTTTCTAACCTCATGTTTTAAAAACACAGGTAAGAAGCATGACTGAATGCCCCTTAAACGATGCATGAATGCATTTACACTCCATTCTATACTGGCATTGGCTGCAGTATACATATACAAATATATGTCTAGCTTCTCCCCAGGAGCAAAGCTATGTTAGAGAGGACAAGTTTCATTCACAACCAGTTGAGAGACTGCATGCTAGTTATACTGCAAAGAGGGACAGATACCATTATGCCTATTTTTAGTTTATGTTCCTTTTTTAAATGTTTTAGTCAATATCAGGTGCAAAAGGAAACTGTTATATGCTGTCCAATTACATTCATAAACAATATGATTGTATAGTAGATATTAATGTAAATTATTAGTGAGTTGACACTTGAGGTAGTCTGTCAGTTTGCCTTTGTGATACTACTCATAATGCTGCATAGTATATGCCATTATGAACAATGTGGTTTATTTTTTGAGGAGGTCAAATATTCAGGGTGACAGACAGTCTCAAGTGTAGTGATCCCAAATTATCAATGAAATTCATTGAAATTAAACTGTTTCTTTTTTCCTGTTTCTACACTATATGGGCCCTGAAGCCATATCTGATGAATGTGTATGATGATCTGTATTTGTCTACAGTCAGTCCTCCAATGATATGTTCTCAAATACAATACATGCTTAATTACTCACTTCATTGTTTAATTAAGCATAAAACAAGTGCACAGAAAATATAATAAAAATTGTGCGTAAGACAAGGCAAAAAATATTACCTTACACGTCTTTTGTAAATGTCTAAGTTAAAGTACAAATCAAATGTTTTAAATAATTGTTTTTTTTTTAAATATCACTTCAAAAGTAACAATTACATTCATTGATACCTAATAAGCATAAAAATTCCCTTTCTGGCAAATCTTAGTTTAGCAACTCCATCTCATAATATCTGTCATAATAACAGCCACTCTCTAAAGTTAGCAAGGCAATTACTAGTATTTGCAAAACAATCCTCTAGTAACTTATAGGAGTAGTTCAACATTTTACCAGCTCATTTTTTCACCTTTGATACACCACCCAAATAATACCTGCTCTGTAGTGGTCCTTTGGGGGTCCTGTACATTGAAGAACAGGGTAAAAGGGGGCTAACAAAGTATGCAGAGAAACAGATGGACTACAGTCTGTAATTGTAGAACTAAAGCGCTCTTATATGGTAAGTGGAGCTGATAAAATGGACAAAGAGTGTAGCTACAAAGCATGTGTAATAATAAAGTGGCCAATGAGTGTGTATATGAATATACATATAAAGATTATCTTATTTGTTTATCAAGGTAACCGTTTAATAATTAAACTACCCCTTTAAGTTTGTAACAAGAATTCATGTCAGATCCTAATAAAACTAAAATGTCAGTCAGAATTCAACAGGTTATTCAATTTTGCAGTGCAGTAAAATTTCTTCTGCAAATATGCACACATTTAGCATTAGTTTAAAAGGCTGTCATCCGCATGTTTACAAATCTTCCAGCAGAATACTTGGGCACAAAGTTGCTCGATTCATGACTTCAAGTTTAACAGCTCTTTGGCTTATGTTTTCACAGCTTACAGCATCATGTTCACTGATGCGATTTGATACATCTGAAATGGTTACCCTCATGTGATCTGACTTAAGCACTTCATTCTGAAGGTTGCGCTCCTTGTTTTCAACTTCCCAGAGAGTGTTTGACCCTTGGTCTAGAAAACAAGATAGCATTTCCACCCTTCCTGTGTCTTGTTGAGAAAGGTCACTTTTTGGCAGAGGAATTATTAGTTCTCATGCTCGCTTGAGGAAATCTGTTAGAAGTATGTCTAACACGATCCCCCCAGCGAGAATGAGCAACATTAGAAAAACAGCAAGTCCTCGACGAACAACCAGCTGCCTGGTGGTCAGCACATCACCTACAATAACCGCTGCGCCATCCTCTGCAGTTCCTTCTTCATGTTCGCCCTGGCCCTCCACATCAGTTTTTTCATGAATCTGGTCTTTTCCATCAGGCTGTGCTCCCTGAGATTCGTCTGTGAGGAGAGACAAACAAGGTTCACACTCCAAAGACAAAATTCCAAAATGTTTCCATGACTTCTCAAAGACCTATTTTAAAACCTCCATAACTTGTATTTTTCACAACATCAATGAAAGCAGAGTTGAACATGTACTTTAAATGTGGTGTACTGCTTTTGTACTATGCTGCTTTTAATGTCAACTGCTAATAGTTAGGTAGGACATGATTATAGACAGTGAAATGATGGGAGAAAGTAATCATTTACTAAAGCAATAATTTGGAAAAACAGCAACAATTTGATGACAAGACAACTCAAAACTTAAAACATGCTTGTCTTAGAAGCCAAAAGGCTTCTATATATTAATAGTAAAGGGGCTATTATACAATCATATGCAAAAGTGTGAACACTCTCGGTCAAATTATGTTTTGTTGATTTTCTAAGTGAAAATAAGTCAAAACATCCGCTACAGAGGACAAAATTCACTATGGCATTTTACTGCAAATTTTCAAGCATGATTTCTCTTTAACTTCTTGGAAAAAAGTAAAACATAACACATTAAATGTGCCATAACTTTTGTGCCGGCTGCAATTTACACATATATATTTTTTCTTTGTTAAATTCCGCAAAATAAATTGTAATTTTGCATTAAAATGTGCAGAAGTGCGTTCTCTGTGGAGAAAATGTTAGTTAGAAAATCAACAAAAACATATTTTACCAGTGGTTCTCAAATTTAAGTGTGACTGTAAGTGTGTAAGTGTGTGTGAGTCACGAAAAAGTGCTGGAATTATGTCTATGTCTTACTATTGTCTATGGTACTCAACCATATGCTACAGATGAAGATTAGACTGAAAAGTACTGGTATATTCCTTTAAGAAGAACATTACCAGAAACTCTCACTATGGCTAGCTACCATGTACTGCTAATGCTAGCTTAGCTGTCAGGCTGACACCTCTGTACACCAGAGACAAAGAAATAAAATTTCATTACTTTTCCAAAAGCATTTTCTATAATCCATGAAAGCCATGGAAACTGAGTTAGTAAAATTCAGACTTTAACAGGTGTTCCTGCAATGCGGGAACCCTGTATGATGAGTTTCATTTGAGACATAGTTCTTCATCAGTGCTACATGCAGGGAAGCAAAGTATACTGTGAGTATTACCTTCTTTACAAGACTTATTTTCCATGGCATAAGATTCATCTTTTGTCTTAGCTGGCAGAACACCTGCTCTCACCAGAGCCTGAAAGGCAACCAACCACCAAAAGATGTCACACTTATTCAAACAAAAAAACCTTTAAATCATTGTAGCATAGTAGTAGACTCTTAAATCAAAAAATAGACATGTAAAAACAGAGCTACAGAAGACTTACCTCCTGAGTTGCATTTTTCCAGTTAAGTTTGCAAATCAGAATGATGAAAAAAACAGACTGCAAGAAGACACACACAAAAAAGCCAGTCCACATACCTGGTGAGGGCAAAAAAAGAAGAAGGGAGAGGTAAACAAACACATCAGATTAGCATGGCAAGGATTTCTGAGTGTGAAGCCTTTTGTCAATTATATAATTATATTAATTATATTCAATGCTTCACTTGAACATAAGTATCCTTTAGTGTTAGCACTTGATGTGCTGCTACTTACCAATTATTCCCATATCGAGTGCGAACATCAGGGACACTGCAAGTGGGAAGCCCACAAAATAGTGGCCAACAATGTTACACATAGCACCAAGCAGCTGCTTTCCAGCACCTCTGACGATACCTCCTGTAATACACTATAGACAAAGAAAAACTTTATCTATCAACAGTTTATTAAAATCTATATAGTTTGAATAACTCTAAGCAAAACATTACTTAATATATTTCAATGTGAACTTGATATGTGGAATCAAATTTGAGAATTAAGTAAAACCAAAACATATTTTTACATTCATTCATTGCATTCAAGTTGGTTTATGGCAAATGACTAAGCTCATTACCGCAATTGCATCAAACAGATGGAAGAAGCCATACATAACCATGACTCCTGAAACTCTGTGCACAATATCCCTGTAAGAGAAAGAGCAATAAGATACTGATGACTGAAGGGTTGTGAAGCACTTCAGAAGAGTGAAGGTCATACTATGCTTTAGGCTATGCCTAAAGCTGCACTATGCAAATTTTGGAGCTTTGGAGACCTCTCTGGTGGAAACGTGTAATTGCATGCAACGTGTGGAAGGTTTTGTGTATATATAATCATGTTATATCCATGTTATATCCACTTCTATAATGTTTCTATTTAGGCTTACTGAATGAAGCATCTCTGGCCTACTGAAACAGATAATCTCTATTTGAGAGGTTTTATAGGTAAATAATTTTTTTTTAATCTAGGCTTAGCTAAAACACCTTTGGGTTTCCTTCTTGGACTAACATACTCTGTAAAACTGAACACTTTGGCTTACTCACTCTTCAGTGGTGAAGATGTATGCAATGATGTCCTTGGTTCCACTTATAAATGCAGCAACTACACATGAGACCAAGACTAGAAGGGAAGAAAGTAGATAACAACTGAGCACAACAACACTAATAACATGTCCAAACAGGTTCACTGAGCTATTTCTCTTGATAACTGTGCTTTGCACTGCACTGCCCTAATTACAATGTCCTAATTGCCTGTATGTTTCTTGTAAAATAGTCACAGTCATTATTTTGATACATTTACATTTGCAAGCAAAATGACCACCAATAAATGTTTGGTCACTCTGGGAGGTTAGACAGCAAATAAGCAAAAAAAAAAACAAAAAACCTTTCCCATTGACTTCCACTCAAAGTCAATCATTTTTTCCTTCTGTAACATTATGATTTTGGAGATTTTGTTCTGATAGTGGATATGATAACTGTGGATATAGGAAGTTTACAATCTCAACATGCTTTACAAGATAAGCAGAACATTGGAAATCTGCTATATTACATTTGATATATCAGCACAATTACACAAAAAATAGACTTAATATATTAGAAAATGACTAGTTGTAACAAGAAGTTGATTTCCACTTACTTCCACATACCAGGGACACTTTGCTGGAGAGTTTGGCCTGTTCTGTGTTTCCAGCTCCAAGAGCATTGCCCACTCTTACACTGGCTGCCACTCCAAATCCCAAAGGAAACTGATGAGGAAAAGACCAAAGTGCTCAGTGAATTAATCGATAATCAAATTATTTATGAAGGGGCTTTGAACAAAGTTTTAAAATAACTGTAACGTTTTATTTCATTTCATTGAAAGAATGCCATTGTGCCACTACGTTAACTCATTCTCATGTCTTCATTTTTGGAATTTGCGTAAATAGAGTGTTTAGAAGTATATGAATACATGCATTTGTCTTATTTATTAATTACATTTTCTGTTTGTTGGATGCAGCTGCAGCTTCAGCTATTTACACTTTCATTAGCGAGTTTGCAAGTTGTGAATAAACTAGCTTGTGGAACATTTAATCTTGTAATATACTGTATCTACATATAATAATCAATGAGGATTGGATATTTTTATACATCAGACTTTCAACCTTATTTGAGCCATTCTTCATCAGAACATCTCTGACCTAAGTTAAAGATCTCAGTATTTCTCTCAATCATTTACTTAGCTGCACTAACTCAGAAATGAAGGGTTGACAATGCACTCTAGACAGAAGACAACATGACACTGTTTTGCTTGAGTAACAGGATAATCCTTCTCGTTATAAAACCTTTTGTCTAAACAGAGAGATGATGTCTTGGGTGGTGCAGGAAAAACAGAAATGTAGCACCTGTTAGTCACTTCATATCAACAAAAAAAGGATTAAATGTCTACTTTCATGCTGTTACAAAACATGCTAACTGACCTTTCACACTACAGCAAGTACTGCTTAAGCTTCTCTAAAAGTATAATTAACTAAGCTTTCTGGCCACAGAAAGTACAAAAGCTAGAAGAGTGGTATAGAAAGAATGGAAGTTGCAATAAGACAATTTTGCCCTAAAATGTCTAGCTCAATTATAATGTCAATGGCTTTGTTTACCTAAAATTGAAAATGAAGCATTCCCACATATTGTGCCTCTTGCTTTGTAGCCTTGAGTATGGTACCCATATCATACGGTGGCCCACAGAGACATAATACAATGACAAATAAAGCAAACAAAAGATAACATAACAGCATTAACCTCTTAAACTCTGAACTAATTAGCAGGTCCAGTAACGCACTACAGTTACTGTCAGAACAAAACCTTGTAAACCTTGAAAGCTCTGCCAAACCAAAATGTTCGTCAGAAAACGGTCAAAAATGAAACTTTGAGTTTTTGGCCAAAAAATAAAAACGGCTGTGTATTTAGATTAAAAAGTAAATTAAGTCTACAACGAAGTGTCAAAACCTAAAACTTCACAAACAATGTTAATGGTAATAAAAACAGTTTCAAAACACTATTCCCTCCACTCTCCCGTGCCAGACAGCATCTCAACAATTTGAGCAGCAGTAAATAAATAGTGAAAATCAGTCATGTAGACCTCTTTCACAGATTCTACAAGGGACACAAGACGAGTAATCTGTAATTTCTGCTCATGTCGATTATCAAGAGAGATTTGATTCCACTTGAAAACACTCAATGTGTACAACACAGCAAAACATAATAGAGATAAAAAAAGATGGAAAATAAAGTGCCTGCTAGCATGCTAACACCATCTGTAGCCACAGTTTTACAAGCGATGAAAAAATTCACAAATGGCAGAATTATTAAATTTATTGCCTTGGTTGACCAAACTTTCTCTTTGTCAAGGATGTTGGATTTTGTGGCACATACTGTATATACTGTGATAACTTTAGTAAGTTCATTTTATGTGAAACTGTTCTTATTCATACTCATCATTTTTCAGTTTTGGGTTTTGGCCAATATTGTCCAGAATTTTCATTTTGGTGCATCACTAACAAATGGTGCATATAACAAAAATGTAAATACAGTATCTACAATAAGGAATATTGTTTTTGAGTGAATGCAGCTTGAAATGTTTGTTGTTTGTTTTGTGATGAAGCTGTTTTTTGAATGATTTCTGAACTCTTCTTCACAAACAAGCTGAGAAAAAGCAAGATTGAGAGATTTATTAATTGATTACATTGTGAATGTTTGAGTCCTTTGTTTATAGTGTTCATTTTAGTGAAAACATGCTTGTTTTAATACATTTAAATGTCTGTAACAGCATTGCTTAATTTACATGTATGTATTATTAATATACATTTGACTGACTGTTATTTAGCAGTAACTGTGAGGCACCATAATGTCTTACCATGTATGCGATGGTGGCTAACTCATAGACAACAGATTGGGCCCCCAACTCAGTTTCACTGATGAGACCTACAATGAAGAATAATGAAGAGTGAAGAACATCAAGTGAGCAGAAAACAGATTATGGAGATGTGATAAAGCTTAAAGAATAAAAAGACAGAAGATTCTCGACCTGCCAGGAATCCTCCAATCTCGTAAGTCCACCACTCCACGCACATCATTAGCATGCTGGGTAAGGCCAGGCGGATGAAGGCACCCCACTCTTGCAGGCAGTCTCCAGACCAGCCTGTCAGTGTCAATGAGCGTGTGAGGATTTTTAAAAGAGAGAAGAAGAAGAAAGACCCTTGAAGAAAGACTTTTAGTCTTATTTCTAGATAGTAAAGTGAGTCAATTGTAACTACACACTACACATTTGTCTTTTTATGTTATTTGTCATTAAATACTTGAATACATCAGAATACAACAGAAACATTACTGACTAACCAAGAATCAGTTTATTAATGTAACCTGTTAAAAGTTAACTAGGAGAACACACTTTACACGCTTTAGTGCACATTTTAATGCACAATTACTCTTTATTTGCTGAATTTAAGATATTGTAAAAAATAAAACATAAAATATGACCTGTGCAGAAGTTAAGGCAACCTTTAAATGTTATATTTTATCATTTTATTCAACATGTTAAACTCTTGTTTTTTGGGGTTTTGTGTTAGGGTTATGTCTTAAGTTTTGATTTTGTTTGTTTGTGTTTTGACCAAGCTGACAGTGACCTCATGGCGATATTAAAGATTATTGTTGTAATGATAAGCTCCCTTTTTATTTGTTATGGTCTTGAGCCAGTTGTGACAACAGTTGATAAGACATTATTCAATGTCCGTCTCATATCTAAGACCTGTATTATCAAAGCATAACAGCCGAAATTTCAAATTTGTGTTATATTCAAACAAAATTGACAAAATTCGACCTTTTATTTATGAATTCAGCAACTGCCCAATGGTTTCTATTATAAGTGATTTTAAGTCAAGAAGTTCTGTTATGTTCTAACTTCTGTTCTAACAACTGTGGGATTCCATGCAGCAGATAAAGATTAGGATGAAAAATACTGGAGTATTCCTTTAAATGTACTTGCTGAATACTAGTGGGTTTATCACATGGTCAAGTTAAGCGTTCATTAATTGAGCTCCTCCAAATTACATAAAAGAGTCACAAAGTAAACCAACCTTAGGTAAAATATTAAATGGGAAAAAATGTGTGCTGTTAAATAATTCTCCTAAGTAAGATGTGTGTGCATCTCAGCCTGACTGAACTTTGTAAATCTGGTGAAATAATAAGAGAAGTTCTGTGAAGTCTAATCTAATTGGCTCTAAACAAGTCTTGTGACATGACTTGCAAATCTTATAAGCAGAGTGTGTGGGACATGTTTGACATCTGAAAGAACAGATTTTAACAAATGAACTGTGTGAGAGTTATCCGAATATCTGAAAAGGGACACAAGAGTGGATATTACACAGATCGAGACATATTTTGCTGACTTACCATCCCAGGTAGCCTTGTGTAGACCCTTCCAGCGGATGTACACGTAAAGAAACACAGCCAAGGAACACTGAGAAATGGAGTTTGCTGCAGCAGAACCACTGTGGACCAACAAACAGATCATTTCACAGAGAGCACCAAATAAAACAAAAAAAAAGATATTTATTTGCTTTTCCACATTTGCTTTAAATACATAAAAAGGGGTCTATGGGTAGGACGCATCAAGAGACTAGATTTTTAGAAGTAAACCTGGAGCAAAATTACTCACGCTACACCCAGATGAAGCAAATGTAGGAAGATGTAGTTTATCACAGCATTCAGGATGTTTCCAGCAGCTCCTGTGATGACCTGAGGCCATATGATGCCCTAAAGGACAGTAGAACTGCCTTTATCATAAAATTTATAACAACGTAAATTGTGTAAAAGCAACATTTTCTTGCTGCCTCATGTGAAGATGGCACAGATCCAATGCCAGATATCAGTATCAGGCCAATCTTGGCAGACAATTCTTGATTCAATATCAGAGGGGAAAAAATCTTCTTCATGATAATCTAGTTTTAGATTCTTATCTTATATGCAGCACTTTAATTAAAAATAGCTCATATTAACGTCAGCATGAATCAGAAATCAGAACAAATTTTTCTTCCTTAATTTGATGAGTGAAACTCAGGCCTGAAATACAGATACCCCTAGTCAAATTACAAGTCTTATTGATTGAAGATAAGCTAACACATCTTCTACAGAACAGTAACTTAAATATGGCCTTTATCTGCCAATTTTAGTGTTCAATTTGTACACTGCTCAAAAAAATAAAGGGAACACTCAAATAACACATCCTAGATCTGAATGAATGAAATATTCTCATTGAATACTTTGTTCTGTACAAAGTTGAATGTGCTGACAACAAAATCACACAAAAATCATCAATGGAAATCAAATTTATTAACCAATGGAGGCCTGGATTTGGAGTCACACACAAAATGAAAGTGGAAAAACACACTACAGGCTGATCCAACTTTGATGTAATGTCCTTAAAACAAGTCAAAATGAGGCTCAGTATTGTGTGTGGCTTCCACGTGCCTGTATGACCTCCCTACAACGCCTGGGCATGCTCCTGATGAGGTGGCGGAAGGTCTCCTGAGGGATCTCCTTCCAGACCTGGACTAAAGCATCCGCCAACTCCTGGACAGTCTGTGGTGCAACGTGACGTTGGTGGATGGAGCGAGACATGATGTCCCAGATGTGCTCAATCTGATTCAGGTCTGGGGAACGGACGGGCCAGTCCATAGCTTCAATGCCTTCATCTTGCAGGAACTGCTGACACACTCCAGCCACATGAGGTCTAGCATTGTCCTGCATTAGGAGGAACCCAGGGCCAACCGCACCAGCATATGGTCTCACAAGGGGTCTGAGGATCTCATCTCGGAACCTAATGGCAGTCAGGCAACCTCTGGCGAGCATATGGAGGGCTGTGCGGCCCTCCAAAGAAATGCCACCCCACACCATTACTGACCCACTGCCAAACCGGTCATGCTGAAGGATGTTGCAGGCAGCAGATCGCTCTCCACGGCGTCTCCAGACTCTGTCACGTCTGTCACATGTGCTCAGTGTGAACCTGCTTTCATCTGTGAAGAGCACAGGGCGCCAGTGGCGAATTTGCCAATCCTGGTGTTCTCTGGCAAATGCCAAGCGTCCTGCACGGTGTTGGGCTGTGAGCACAACCCCCATCTGTGGACGTCGGGCCCTCATACCATCCTCATGGAGTCGGTTTCTAACCGTTTGTGTAGACACATGCACATTTGTGGCCTGCTGGAGATCATTTTGCAGGGCTCTGGCAGTGCTCCTCCTGTTCCTCCTTGCACAAAGGCGGAGGTAGCGGTCCTGCTGCTGGGTTGTTGCCCTCCTACAGCCTCCTCCACGTCTCCTGGTGTACTGGCCTGTCTCCTGGTAGCGCCTCCAGGCTCTGGACACTACGCTGACAGACACAGCAAACCTTCTTGCCACAGGTCGCATTGATGTGCCATCCTGGATGAGCTGCACTACCTGAGCCACTTGTGTGGGTTGTAGAGTCCGTCTCATGCTACCACGAGTGTGAAAGCACCACCAACATTCAAAAGTGACCAAAACATCAGCCAGAAAGCACAGGTACTGAGAATTGGTCTGTGGTCCCCACCTGCAGAACCACACTATTGAGTGTGTCTTGCTAATCGCCAATGATTTCCACCTGTTGTCTATTCCATTTGCACAACAGCATGTGAAATTGATTGTCAATCAGTGTTGCTTCCTAAGTGGACAGTTTGATTTCACAGAAGTTTGATTTACTTGGAGTTATATTGTGTTGTTTAAGTGTTCCCTTTATTTTTTTGAGCAGTGTATTTATTTGCTGAAATTTAATACACTGTGATGGAGAAGCAAGAATATCTATGTCTTTTAAGTGGTGTTATATATGGAACCATGCATAACATGAACAGGGACATGAACTAAAAGGTACAAAAGGTCAATTTTTATTCCTAGTAGTTTTATAAAAGCAGCATAGTTTCATTTTAGGACGATACTCAAGGTTTCAATATCAACATCAGCACTGCTATCAGGACTGAAAAAGTGGTATCGTCTCCAGTCTCATGTCATATGAAAATGCAGTATAACAATATTTTATGTCTAAACAGAACATACTGGAATATATATTCAACATAATTTTTGTACAGTGGAAAGTCTTTACCTGATTCTGCAAGTATCGAGCTTGCAACTGGTACATAAAAGCAGCCTGAGAAGACAAAGAAAGTAAAATGAACAAATCACAGATTTAGATGAAGTAACACTATTTTCAACTGAATCCATTTTAAAATGTCATTAGTAATGAATACATGAAAGTCAGCCCTGCAGCATGAAAAAGAAGCAGAAATAGTAACTGTTCAAAAAAGAAACATCACAGTTCTGTTTGTTCTGTTGAGATGTGTGGAGAAGGTAAAACTCACAGGCAGAGAAGGCATGTATATCTTTACATACAGCTGTGTGAGACTGTGGAGGTAAACAAACATGAGGTCAGTCATGGCAATTTTGACGATACACGTCAAAATGCTATTAAAGCAACACTTCAGCATTATTAAACCTTATCTATAAATATAAGGGCTTTGTTCCAAAATGCATTACAGACAACATTTTTTTCATGATATACGTTATTAGGAGTGGGTTTTACACATAAAAGAAATAAAAAACTACATTATGATTAATACCACCTTTATTAGTGAAATAAAAATGTGTTTTCCGTTATATGTCAGCTGTTGTTCTTTTCAAAAACTCTTCATATTCTGGGTCTGTAAAATGCAGCTGTTAAATAATAGTGTATTTCCCTGTACTTACTTAAAAAACAAAAACCAGTGACTCATTATACACTTATAATAGAAGCCAATGAGTCGCTGAATTATGTCCATTAATGTTTATTTAAAACACGTTTATGTAAGACACTTTCGTGAATTATTCAGTCAAAATTATGATAATTAAGCTGTAAAGCCATACAATCTGTGTAGTTTTCATAGGCTCCCACCTGATTGCACAGGAATATAGGATAAGGTTTCGGAAGAGCAACAGGAGTTAGAATTACTTTTTTACAGTGTTAAAAGTTAGAGAAAACTTTAAAGAACAGCTCTGTTAAGATCTGTCTCATCCACACACCTGTACATACTATCAGAGTGTAATGGTTCTTTGCATTATATAGTCATATAACATATCACTGTTGTTGGAACAAAACCTCGTTTTTCAGTTTTTGACATAATGTAAAAATGCCTTTTGTCCTTTGCATTGTGTGTAAATTTCATGAAGAATGGACCAAAAGAAACGGCCCAAAATAACTAAAAAGGTAAAAAGTCTGGTATGTAGGTTAAGCTTTGCTGGAATGGTGTGATACCCCAGAAGCTTTCCAGTTGTGCTTCAAAAACAGTACAATACACTACGGAGTTTATAATTGAACACTCTTCTAGGTTTTATTGGATATAATGGCTACCAGACTAGTAACATAGTTACATATCGCCACTGTCGTACGAAAACCTCATATCTCCATTTTTGTCGTTTTTCAGTTTTTGACATAATTTCGAAATTCCTGCTGACCTTTACACTGCATGTAAATTTCATGACGAATGGACCAAAAGAAATGGCCCAAAATGACTTGGAAAAAAGTCTGGTTCCACTGACTTACATTAAAAGTAAAGTATGTTTTTTCACTCTCCTGTAAAGTTACCATTTTGGAGATAAAATGTTTTCTTCCGACAACAGTGATATAAAAATGTTTATTTATGGAATTTAACAACTGCCCTTTGACCTCTGGGTCAATCGGTTCTCTGGTTTTTACATGAGAACACATCAAAATTATTATTTAAGTCTACCTACTTTTTACTCAGTTACATTTTAGCCATTCATGTTTAGTTACTGATTCCTTTTTGAGTTTAATTACATCATGTTTTGTTGGCAGCTGTACTGCTTTGTGACTGGTCACAGCTTTGAGTTTGGAGCTTTAACATTTTAATTTAGATCCAGGAGTCCCAAAAAAAAGACTAGAGCCTAACAATTGTCAGCTCCTGCGCTGACAGATGCCACATTTACTAAGAAGTTCCACAGCTGTTTTAGAAGTTACTTCTTGAAAAGTTTTTGACTTGATACTTTGTGACTCAGAAACATTTTTGGGAAAGTAATTTTACTTGTATCATTATTTTACCCAAGTAACAAGACTTTTACTTTAGTACTAATTTAGGCTACTTTACACACCTCTGATTAAACCAAGTAAAGAACGTACTGTATGCACTTAAAATGTACTTTCATAAAGCCACTGGTGAATAGTCATGGTGTCAGCACATACCTGGCCACCCTGGGGCTCTGTCTGACGGCCAGCAGGATGGGCTCTGTGTTGATGAGTACGGCCCAGCAGGGGAAGCAGGACAACAGGAGGATAAGGATGCCCCTCTGCAGGATCACCCCAACCCTCTTCAGGTTATTACTGCCAAATGTCTGCAAAGACACCACAATTTTACCTTTACTTATAAATGCCACAGAAATATTATGTCTCCAGAGGGTTCAGAGAAAACTGAAGAGCGATCAAACCAAAATACAATAAAAATGAGTAAGGTTCAGTAATGAGGGGTGTTAGCACAATTATTCAGACAGACAAGAGATTCTGGAGTATGCGATCAGACAAATGCGGTCAAATGGGTCATTTTACACAGGAAAATGTAGCCAAAAAGAGAAAAAAGCCAAACACTAGAAAAACAAAAGGTGATGTGACATAAATGAATCATTTTGTCCTAGTAAAATATTTTCTTTTTTTGTTAATGTTTGCTTTTTCACTGCACTCTTGGGACTATACACTATTAAACCTGTCATATTTTAACAGTTTAACCTATCCACATAAACACTGTTGTGTCTCTAACGTCATTTGGCAAAATATGAAAAAAAATCATACAGTAGATAATGACAGCGTCAGGAAGCTCACCTGAGAAATGAGTGTGTCGCATGCCGATGCCAGTCCAGCACCAATGGACAAGCCTGTGACATTAATAACCTAACAAGAAAAAGAAAGCATAAGCTAAAGTGCTTATAATCATCCTTACAAACAGATTTAATCTGAAACAAATTTGTGTTTTACTCACAGCTATGGCCAGCGCTACACTAGCTAACTCTGTCTTCCCCAGGTGTCCACAGAACACAGTGCTGACGAAGTTGATCAAGAAGATCATCAACTGTGAGATAAACTGTAAGTGGGGAGAAATGCAGACATTAGAAATTAATCTCAACAAGCAGCTGGACGCTACACACTATTTCATGCCTTTTTTTGTCAGGAATTAGAAGATGGCTTCAAATCACCTCTAAATATACAGCACTTGTTCTATAAGCACTGTGGATTAATTAGCCTACGTTAATTCTATACTCTACCATTCAAAAGTCTGGAATCACCGTTTTCAATAAAGGAAAAACAATAAATCATTTCAATGTGTGAGTAAATAAAATTATTCCTATTTGTTTCTTGTGCAACTTCACAACTTCTTTAGTGGTAAAAAAACAAACAAACGATGTTTTAGATCCAGAGAGATGAACAGAGGTTTCTGTAAAGACTCAAAAAGGAGTACAGGATCCAGAACGCCTCATCTGTAAAAGTGATGATTAAATCTTGAGGCAGAAAACCTAACAAAAAATGACTCTAAGCAGAGAATCATATTACATGATTTGTCATGTAGTAAACTTGATCCCAAAATACCAAAAATACTGGTCTAATGTACAATATTATGTATATTAAAGTTATTATTGTTGTATATAAAATAACCAAATGTATTAATAATTATTAGAAGTTATAATGTGTGATTCAAAACACCTGAACAGTAGTTTATGTCTACACACTAAAATGAATACTACTCATAATACCATGTACTGTGTACTACTAAAAGGCAAACGGACAGAAAGAAAGAAAGAAAGAAAGAAAGAAAGAAAGAAAGAAAGAAAGAAAGAAAGAAAACGGTGTATCAGTTTACATGTGCTTAGTATTTTACACATAATAAGAAAAAGCTAAGAGGCGGTGATGGCATTAAACAGCCCGACTGAGAACCGTTAGAAAAACAAATTCACTTCAGTGTTAGCATTTTCAAATCAACAGCACAGGCTGTGTTGCTGTCATACCACTGGTCCAGCTAACTTCAGTAACTGAACGGTTTCTTCTTTGTAATTCACAGGTATCCAGCCACGAACTTTCCTCCCACATCCTCCACAGGCAGTCTGTGAACTTGTTTCCTGAGCAGCGGCGTTTTTCTCCGAGGCTGAGACTCCGTTTGACTGAGCTTCTGTTTTGGTGTCCATTCTTCTGAACGCTGCCTCTGTGAGGGCGAGCTGGAGGTGCTGTGAGAGAAACTCTCAGTGTGGTGGAGTTATACTCCGACCAGGCGGAGAGCTGAACTGTACACAAACCATTAACGAGGTCTTCCTCCTGCATAATTTGTCCCTGCCCTGAGTGACCCTCACAGAGGCTAGGTTGCTCCACGAGGTTATTTCATAACATATAGCTGGTCAGCTCAGGTTGCGTTAAAGGGCCACGAGCATCACCATCCCATCACAGCACGAGCGGAGAGGATGCTCTCATGAACACGACCAGGTGGGGGTGCTGTTTCCTATCACGCTTGTGCAGTACGTTCGTGCTCACCACCTACTGACTTGAGGTGAATCTCAAATGGCTCCCTACTCCCTATATAGTGCACTACATAGGTAATAAAAATGATGACTTTTACAACCCAACAGTGTCCAGTAGGGAGACACGCAGCCTATGCCTCGATCTCAAATGGATCTCTTGGACATTTATTCCACTATTTGAATGTAAAAGACATAATTTTAGAACCTATTAAGGGCACTACTTAGTGAGTAGGAAGCCATTAGAGACATTAGAGCCTGATTTTACAGTGGTGTTGATAGGAAATAGGGGTCACGATGGATAGATACAACAGCAATATAGCCACTTTATTTGCTATCCAGAATGACCAGTCAACCCACATGTGTCTTCTAAGTTTTTACATATAATGTTGATAATAGTAAAATAATAGGCAGAATTTCCAATGTCTCCCTACTACCTATGTAATGCACTATGTAAAAACTAAAATATTGGCTCCAGGACTTAAATAGTGCATAATATATCAAACAAATAGCCATCTGAAATTCAGTTAAGTGGGCACTATTACATACTGGAAAAGCCAGAATTTTTTAACTTACAGCACTCTATGTATAGGAAGCAGGGAGCCATTTGAGATCCAGCCATATTTTTTGCCTTACAACACCATGTGTGAATGCACCACTCCACCATAAATAGACAAAAAATATGTTAGGCCAACATACCCACTTTGTGTTAGACCAAAATCTTATCTCAGAACTATTGCAAAAATGCCTCAAATGCCAAGCAAAAGGTTCACAATGACTGTGTGTAATAGCTTTCTGTGATGTATCTTTTAGAGGCATTTAATGTGTTGGACGTCTGGTTCTTGTCACCAGCACTGTGAACAACTCTGACTCAGTATGTCCAGTGCAGTCTGAGTACTGGCAAACTGAAGACATTTTTCTTTATTTATTTGTCATTTACTTGACATTTATTGGGGGGATGTTTTATGGTACTTTAGGTTGACAAACCACACTTAATTGATCCATGGACAAAAGTCACAAATAATTATCAGTATGTTAGAAGAACAAGTTTATTAAAGTAGAAGTTCATACACTGTGAAACCAAATCATTGCACTAACTTATTTTTTTTTTAAATTTACTTTACTTATTTGTTAAAATCATTAACACAAATCTACTTATAGTCTAATCCTTACACTGTAAAAAATGGCTCATCAGATCAACCTAAAAAAAAATACTTCATGTGGTAACAAGTACATTACCTAGTTTTTTCAACCTAAATAAACACTATGAATGAACGATTGTTTCAATCAGTTCAGCCACTTTTTTTTTACATGTTTGTTTTCTTTTTGTGTTATTCTCACCATGATAGTGTTTTTCCAGTTCAGTCTGGAGCCATTAATGCTAACAGAATGACAAATATGCTAATAAAGTTCTCACAAATGAGTGAATCTAGTCTGATCTAAACCATTTTTTCCTTACTGTACAAAACAGTCCATTTAATAGCATGGACCTGTTTTAATTGATGTTAATACGTACACAAAGAAAAGTATATGATTTAAGTTAACCTAGCTAATTCAGGAGGAAGCAGAACTTGAAAAAGTAAAGTACTGCCAGATCAGTGGAAACTATTTAAAATGATTGGGCTGTTTAAGTTTTACTTGCTACAGTAGTGTGGATCACTGAAAATGAGAAAGTAACTATAATTCATATACAAACTCATTTAAGTTTACAGTGTAAGAGGTTAAACCTACCATTAAATGCGTCAAGCTAGCTTACAGACACCAGATTCAACAATTTTTCTTTGGTTACTACATTTTAAACAGACACCTCAGGTATACTTCATTTGGATTTAAAGCAAGTCTTAGCAAGACTTAAGCTCACACAGTCTCTCATTATTGAGTCAGCCAGTGTCTCTAGGTGTTTTAAAAGCTGCTCATATGAATAAAACCGCAAGCCAGGTTGACCTTTGTTGTATACTCTTTAAAAAGATGGTTCTTCAAGTGTTTTTTAGAAACATTAATTCTATATAGAATCATTTCAAGCTGAAATGGTTCTTCGAATGGTAAAATCGTTCTTCAGATTGATGTGTTGTTTATTGTTCTGTATAGGGGTTTTTTGAAAATGGTTCTATTTAGCACCAAAAAGGGTTCTTCTGTTGTTGTGCTGTGATAAGGTCCATGCCAAGGGTGTATGGTGTCCTTTGCTATTCATCTTGTATATGATGACTGTGGGAGTGCCAGTGAAGATCATCATATTATAAATGTGCAGATGATACAGTTTTGTTGTCTTGGCTTTCTGGATCAGAGCGAGAACATGTTCCCATCTTGCAGGAATTTACAGAGTGGTGGGATCCATTATGCTTAGATAAGAATATCCCAACAACCAAGGAGATGACTGTGGATTTTAGAAGTTGCAACCCTTAAAAACTGACACACTCACACACACAAACACACACACACACACACACACACACACACACACAAACACACACAATGAATGGCTATATTCATTTTTAAGAGGCGATAAAATCTGAAGAGAAAAGTGATGCAATCTTTGAAAAAGACACCAGCAACACGAGTTCACCTGTTTCGTGGACTTTGAATAGCTCCTTTATTGAGAGTGTTGTTTTTTTCTCCTTCATTTGCTGATGTCACTCCCTAAGAGTAAAATATAAGAATTGTCAACAGAGTATAACATCTGTTTGCTCCAAAATAATTGGTCTTCTGTGTTCTTTGTCTGACTTTATTACATGAACAACAGAGCAGTTAATTTATCTAATTAATGACCCTTCATATATCCTCCAATATGCTTCTCAGTTCTTGCCCCTGGGCTACCATTATTGCTGCCCTGTTGATCTGTCTGACGGAGGGCCATTTGTGCAGGAGGCCATCAGGTTAATCAGTGACCACTCATGTTAAGTCTTGTGCTGACCCTGCATTTTATTCCAATTTATTTATTCACTTCTTATTTATGAAGATGTGTTTCTATTGTTATGGGTGGCACGGTGGCACTCACAGCAAGAAGGGCCTGGGTTCGATTCCCGGCCGGGTGACCAGGGTCATTTCTGTGTGGAGTTTGCATGTTCTCCCCGTGTCTGCGTGGGTTTCCTCCCACAGTCCAAAGACATGCAGTCAGGCCAATTGGAAATGCTGAATTGCCCCTAGGTGTGAATGTGTGTGTGATTGTATATGTATGTCTGTCTGTCTGCCCTGCGATGGACTGGCGACCTGTCCAGGGTGTATCCTGCCTTCCGCCCAATGACAGCTGGGATAGGCTCCAGCACCCCACTGCGACCCAGAAGGATAAGCGGTTTAGATGATGTATGTATGTATGTATGTTTCTATTGTTGTCTGTAGATTTATGTTTATGTCATATGTTTACATGCCCAGTTATGAACTGCCTTTGGGAAAAAAAAAAAAATTATAGGGTTTTTAAATTTTTTGGTTTATTTAAGTTGTTTTCTTTGTTGATTTTTTTGGTGTGATTTATTTGATATATTTTTCATAATTTACCATTTTATCATTAATATTGTTTTAGCATTGTTTTCTTTTTTGTTTTTTTACCCTACTCAGTTGTTTTATTTATTTTATCACTAATCGCTTAATAGTTTCATTTGATTGTTTTGATTTGTAAATCTTATTTGTTTTAGAGTTTCCTTTTTGTCTTAGGTCTCCTATTTGTCCTAGGTCTTATTTTATTTTCCTCGCTAAACTTTTACTACCATAAATTTACATTTACATCTTTGTTTTTATAGAACACACATCTACATTGTAAATCTCAATATATGAGTTTAAATAAAGGTTGACTGATATACATGAGCAGACGCTTCATTGAGTACACTTCCTTGTTTCTACACTGATTGCCAATTTCATCAGCTCCACTGATCAGTGACCACTAATGAAGGACTAGATGACGACTATCAAAATGTGAAACAACAGATGAGCTCTTGTACCTGTACGCAGTGTTTGAAAATTCCAGCTGCACTGCTGTGTCTGATCCACTCGTACCAGCACAACACACGCTAACACACATCTATATTGCTGCAGTGCTGAGAATGATCCACCACCCAAATAGTACCTGCTCAGTGAGGGTCCATGGGGGTCCTGACCTCTGAAGAAGAGGGTAAAAGGGGGCTAACAAAGTATGCAGAGAAACAGATGGACTACAATCTGTAATAACAGAACTACACAGTGCTCCTATACGGTAAGAGGAGCTGATAAAATGGACAATGAGCGTAGAAACAAAGAGATGGTTTTAATGAAGTGGCTGGTTGGCGTATATCACACACACATACATATACATACACTCTAATCTTAGTGGTTCATGTTTGTTCATTTCTAAATTTATTAAACATCAAACAAGATGTGTCTCCCAGTACAAATGGTGGGCAGTGTGTAACAGTGTTATTGCAGTTTATCAAAAGAGGACATACTGAACATACAAGTCAACTGAACCTTCTATTAATAAAGTAGATATGAATGAAGGTTGGCGGCACGGTGGCGCAGTGGGTAGCGCTGTTGCCTCACAGCAAGAAGGGCCTGGGTTTGATTCCCGGCCGGCCGACCAGGGTCATTTCTGTGTGGAGTTTGCTTGTTCTCCCCGTGTCTGCGTGGGTTTCCTCCCACAGTCCAAAAACATGCAGTTAGGCTGATTGGAGATGCTAAATTACATTTGTGAAGCTAAAATCTACATCCCTTTTAATTTCTTGTTCGAATTTTGATAAATTAATCTTGTATTGTTCAACATGAAGCCTATTTAATTTCCTTTGCCCAGGACATGTAGTTACTCAGATATTCACATCTCAAGTGATGTCAATTTTTTTGGGACACCCTGTATATTAGTTTATTATTTAAGAACTTTGGTAGCCACTTTTATTAGTTTTTATAAAATATCACGCACTGCAATGTTCTGAACTCTGGAGATGTTCAGGCTATACGGATTCAATTTACAAATTTAGCTTCCTGGAGACTGGATCTAAAGCGTCTACCTGTCTTTAAATCTTTTTAGAGGTCATTCTGGTCTATTTTGCTTGTTTTGTTTTGTTTTTTTTTTTAAATGCAACTACAGGGTTATAACTGCAGTAATGGTGATGAGACAAGCTTTATCAGAGCACAATTACAGCTTGCCTACCAACATGGTGACATGGTCTTCTTAATGACGTAACTGTATACTATCTATAGATAAACTGAGTGACACAAAAAAAGAACAGACAGAAACTCTTACAAAAGTCTTTATAGTACATAAGAACAGCAGAGGCACCTGACAATCCAACCAACACATTAGTACTCAGTCACTACACACACTTAAAAATGACGGTTCTTCAAGGGTTCTTTAGTACAGAAAATGGTTCTATATAGAACCATGAACACTCAAAGAACACTTTGCATGATTAAAGGGTTCTTTGCACCGTCAGAGGGTTTTTCACATTGATGGAGAACGTGTTGTAGATGGTTCGATGTAGAATCTTTTTGAAAAGGGTTAAAGAACCTTTTAATCATGCAAAGGGTTCTTTTAGTGTTCATGGTTCTTTCATTTTCTTTACTCAAGAACCCTTGAAGAACCATCATCAAGAGTGTAGAGCACCATTTTTCAATTAAACATGAAGAAAAAAAGCACACATTCTCAATCAGCACCTCTGACATCCATCCATCCATCCATCATCTAAACCGCTTATCCTTCTGGGTCGCGGTGGGGTGCTGGAGCCTATCCCAGCTGTCATTGGGCGGAAGGCAGGATGCACCTCTGACATGCTTGTATCAAATATGTATACCTAATAACCTGTAATGCAGTATAGAAAAACCTAATATTTAAAACATAGATGTACTTAATGAGGTGGCTGGCTGAGGTCATAAGTGGAACGAAAGGAAAAAAATAAAGGAAAAGCAAATTTGGATATGGGCCTTTTAAGCAGACAAAGTGAATATTTAAAAAAGCTTAGGTGTTACAGTGTCACAGTTTTGCCAGACTGGCTGCTGCTTTTAGGTCTAACACCCGTTGAAAAAAACAATAAACCATCTGTTCTTCAATTTTTCCTCTCACAACCTCACTAAGCACACTTTTCCTCAGTGAGGATTCAGGACTGGATTTAATGGGCATGCTGTATGTAAGTCTGACAGCAGGAAATCCAAATTTTTACTTTCAACATCACCACATAGAAAAAATGCACTAGATATGTACATTATTTATACAAATGCCTTGAATAAGAGACGTGGGGCACAGACTACCTTCACGCCTCTAGCAGGCTTCATTTGGAGGCAGGATTGCCATGAGGAGGTGCTTGTTGCTGTTGTTGCTGCTGTTGCTCGGCAAGAGCTTGCTGAAGGCGCGTGCGTTTGCGTGAGTAGTGCTGCCAGTGCAGGATCTGCTGCTCGTCGATGAACTTCGCACACTGAGCGTTCACCAGTTCCTTCCGGAAGTGCTCGTACTGCAGCAGCTCCAACATGTGCAGGCAATGAGGATACCTGAGAAAGGGGGGCGGGGGTGTTCACAAATGACTAATCAGATTCAGATACATTAAAGGGATTGGCTGTTTAATATCCTGTCACCATGAGCTCAATAAATGCTGAAAATAAAATGAACCATTTAAAAGAAAATTAAATTTAATAGGATTAGATTTTGTACATGTATAATATAATGCCAGCAATGACAAGTCACACTCTTTTGTAACACCAACAAGGCAGAGACAAAAAAACAAAAAACAAAAATCAAACCTTTAGGAAGTACTTTTAAAGAGCACAACAAAAATAATAAAAGAAAAAGGAATCACGTATACATGCACTAACATAAAAAAGCAGTTATAAAAAGAACACTTACTTCAGGAATTTAGCATATTCTGGTTCTTTCCAGTAAAGTAAATACTTCAGGTAATTCACGAAAGGTTTTTCTCTCAGGTAGCCTCTTTGAGCAAGAACTGCAAAGACAAAAGTAAAGCTGTAATTTACGCATCTAATTTACTTTTTTCAAGGCATATACAGGGAGATTCACTCGAAAGAGGCCCCAAATATTCTGTAATAACTCTCTCTAGGATGAAGCAATCTGAACGAAACAATGAGCAATGTGCTCCTCAGTATATGGAGCTTCGAACAAGCCGGGATGCCCCTGTGTCGGAGCGATGAGGTAGGCACCAGAGAGCCGTTGCAATGTTTAACCTCTCTAATGCTTGCTGATACGTTCAGGAACATGAAGCGCCACTTCGAAACGTGTCTGGCAGAAAACGGAGATCATTTCCAGCATCGCATGTAATGCAATCGATTACACATACGTCAAGGTATGTAGTGTATTTTTTTGGTTCAGATTGCTTCATCCTAATTGGAGCTACAACAGAATATTTGTGGCCTCTTTTGAGTGAATCTCCCTGTATTTACATTTGAAAAGAAATTCAGTGTTTAGCATTTTAACTTCAGACACGCAAGACTATAAGGAAGCCATAAAGAGTATTTCAGTCAGGTTTAGAAAGATTTTATGTGCTACAGCGACAGTTTAAGTTTATTTACAACAGCTTGTAAGGCACAGAAACAAAATGTAATTGTAAAGGATAATGAAATGTTGGAAAATTATGAAAGTAAAACTGACTAATTTTAATTTGAATTCTAAAAGGTACTGAACTCCTAATATTAAGCACTGAACACCACTGAAATCATCGAAATACATTGATTTGAAAAGTTCTAATTTATTCCAACTAAGCTCCATGAAATCTGAAGCAGTTTTATTTCAGCATTCAGAAATTTGCATCTTAAAATTCAGGTTTCCAAAAATCAGGTATTTATATTCAAATATGTTTGTGTTCACAAATTCAGACTCAATAATTCAATATTCAGATATTCAAAATACTGTATTTAGGTTTCTAATTTCAGTCCTCATTCACTTTTGAAAAATACAAATCAACAAAATCCAAAACTACCCAAGGACCAGCAAATGCAATCGAGCAAAAATCCAGTGAACCGACAGCTAACCTATTAGTGCAGTCTTTCAGTCTATCCACAGAGAAAACCCTTGATAGCTTCTTTATTTACCAGTGCATCTTTCTATAAAGAAGCACTGATAAATTCCTCCTACAAATAAAAAAGATGGAATACACTGATGCCATGAGTGATTGTGTATCTAACAGTGTTAGTCTACTGCCTTAGTAACAGTGAAATAGTAACAGGACATTAGACTTAGCAGCGGCCAATGTACATCAAGTAACTAGCACTATTTTCCAGAACTAGTTTCTGTAGTAACGGTCAGAACAGAATAAGTAACCAATGCCGTATTCAAGCAAAATACACTACAATAAGTCTGAGAAGCTTTACGACCAATGCTTCTCTCTCTCCACAGCAGCAGCGCATTAAACAGTGGAACACGAGAGGTAGCATTTTAGACAAGCAACATCACGGCTGTGACTCACAACAACACACTGCCTCTAGTGTTCGACTGGTCTATACAACAGTTCTGCAAAGTAAAGACTAATTTAAAAATTAATGGGTGGTTTGCACTAGCAAGAATTAAGCTAAAATGTGGATTAAATCAAAGTTTACCTATTAATCCAGTTGCACCAAAAAAATGTAAATTTAACTAACAGTAAAGTAGACAGTAAATTTAACTAACCTAAGCAAACGATAAATAAAGTCTTGCGGCAGCATTCCTAATTGCCTGTAGATGATTTTTAAGGAATGACATACTAAGCGAGGAAATCAGACCATTACAGTAATCAATGCAAGATGAAATAAGGCATGTACAAGCACCTGTAGCTCTGCATTTGAAACTACACATCTCAGTTTACTGATATATGTCTTAAGCGGACAAAAAAACAAGACCTGGCCAGCTGCTTAACATGGGTATCGAACGACAAGGACAGATCAAAAATAACCCCTAAACTACGCAAGCTAGTGTGGGCGGCAGAAGAGAGAAGCCCAATACTTTGTTTAGTCATGGCGGGTAACCTTTTCTGAAGCAACAATGAAAACCTCTGTTTTGTCCACATTTAGCTGGAAGAAATGTGCACTTTAACCACATGTGAGTATGAGTACAAATATAAAACTGTGGAGTACAGGGGCAACTACAAAAAAGAATTATGCCTTTGTTCCAAACATTATGTTCCTAACAGCCAATCTGGTTGTATTTTAATAGCTGCAAAGAACAAGAAAAGATAATGAATTAATCTTCAGCTAAATGTTCCTGCTCGTGACAGCCCTATATACAGTCACAAACATCTTGTAGCAGGCAGAATACCTTTAATGAAATTTGAACACATGGTTATGTTGAGATTACAGTGAAATTTGTCTGGGTTCCAGCACATCATGTGACAAGACAGGTAAAGAAACTCTTGAGAAGGAGATGGTTCAACTAGTGATCTCTATGAGTAAAGCAGAAAGACTAATTTGGATAAAAACAATAGGGAGGTGGTAGTAGAGTTGTAATAATGAAGGAAAGTGAGGGTCACGTTTCCTCCTTCGATCACCTTTCACTATTTAGTCCACTGCATCTGAAGTAGTCTACTTTGATTTTGTGGCAGTGGACATGGTAATGTTAAACTTGGCATCTTATTCGAATTTCCAGTTCCACCTTAAATGGTGCAGCAGTTACATTCAAGTACTATGGGTGCCAGAAGGTAGTTATTGCTCTATTTGAGGTGGAACTGAAAATACACACAAAAAGCTAGCCAAAAAAAAATAAAAAGCAGAAATTCGAATGTGACCCACATTTATCACCATTTTGCCATAAAGCTGTATTAACATAGGTTTACATATATATTGCAGTCTTGTTTTTACTATTTTACATATTAAAATATTTCATCTTTTCTTTGTTTTTTAAAGTGTTTGGAGTTAATTTTGTGCCAAAGTTTTAAATAAAATAAAATCCACAAGCAAAATATTAAGTATGAAAATGTCCAAAATATGCTGCAAATACAAATAACGAGAGTTACATCTAACTTAAATTTTTAAAGGGTTACTACAGATTTTTCACTTATTCTGACATAAATGTATTACAGCTTTTGCTTTAATTGTTTTCTGTTTGCAGATTTTGCTGACACCTATTTGCTTCTGGAATTGTTCTTTGCCTCTGACTTGTGGCACTTTTTAACAGGGGGTGGGTCTTAGAAGAGGGCGTTCACTTGCACTCTGTATTGGTCAACTGATTTGGGGTGACAGGCCTTCTGAACACGTAGCCACGTTCCCCTCAGTGAGCCGTGACCTGTCTCAACCTTTGTACTGAGAATATTAGTGCTAGAGAGGATCGCACTGACATATCCGACCTTATGAGCAGTGTTTTATATTTGTTAATGTAACACAAGTCCGCGGTCCTGTCACGTGTGTAAAATCAGACACTGTATAAAATAAGTATAATAGGTAAACTTTGCTTATTACGGCTGCTAGTGTTTCCTGTCCGTGTTCGCTAAAGAGTTAATTAGGCGAGCTTTGCAGCTGCTTCTGGAGACCTACAACTCCACACAGATTTAACTATTCCTCACCTTAAAACACCTAATCCAGCTCATCAACTGATTATCAAGCCCTTCATGAGCTGACTCAGGCGTGTTGGGTCAGGAAATCTTTGAATCTATGGTGCTTTGGGTTGGGGGGGGGGTGGAGTTAGTTGATAGACAGTAATATTTAATCACTACAAAAGGGATCAGGTCAACTTGTCATGGTTGGCTGTAAGTTCTGGGGGTTATTAAGACTGTTCCATCAGTCTTTTGTTGTTTCTACCCACAGAATGCTTGTGTTGGTCAAGGAAACAGGCTTCCTATCTCAGCACATTAGTTTACCGGATGCTGCTGCTCCAAATCACTGTCTTCACATTAAAACAGTGCAATTCAGTCCCATTAAAGCAATTTAATCCCATTATCAGCTTGACCCTCCTAGTTAAAATGGTTTCTATTAAAAAAAAAGAAGGGACATCCCAAAATAACGAGCCACTGCTGATCTATCTAAAATAGGTTTTATGGCAGTTTCTACAAGGCTTCATTCCCTATCCACAGTAGGTCAAGTATATGAATAGGGAATAGATAATTCCTCCTCACTGTCCACACCACAGTCCAGGGAGGCTACGGTAATACACATAATAGTCACCTGCCTCACCACAGAGACGATGCTGCTCGCTGTTTGTATTTATTTATCGTGAAACCAACTTTTCCAATTTAACCGAACGTAAAAGCGGTTTTACGCCGTTGAGGCATTCCATCAAATTTCTGGCTTTTCCGTCGTTTTTTCCTTCAAAATTCACAAAAAGGGATGGAAAACCCATAACTGAGACTAGTTACAACGCTAACGGCACTCGGTCAAGAGCCGTTTTGAAGCCATAGTTTAGCTGTTAGCGCCGCTCTGCTATATCAACAGAGCACACGGAGGTTTAGCCGCTGCAGCTAACACTGATAACAGAAAACGCAGCTAATGAAACCAAAAGCGTTTCCGGCTCAACTTACAGTTCAGATAATTCGGGTTGGCCAGGCACTGAACAAACTCCAACTCCGACTGGAAGCGGTTCCTCGCTTGCTCCTCTGTGTGGATAATAGAAGTTTAGTGACTGTCGACAAGGTTTTTGGTTCATATTTACCAGCTAGAAGTTTGCATGAGCTTTAAAATCTCCCGACAGTCTCAGCTAGCACCACTGCTAACTGACTACAGACCTGTTTCCAGGACGCCAGCCATTCGTACATCTGGGTTTCAAGGACGTCTATTCGATAAAACCGTGTAGATGTGCACTACAGTAGTGAAAGTAACTGGACTTCACTGTAAAACCATTATTTTGTTCGTTTTAAGATGAAACCCACTCATTGTTGTCTAACCGAGCGCCATATTTGTCGCTAAAGCTGACGTCTGTGATGACGGCGCAGTTTGGGCGGAGTTCTGCAGAGTAAAGGGAAAGTTCAGCGATTTTTTTTTACTTTACGTTGTATTTTATAACAACAGGGAACAAACATACAAGACGAAATAGGGTAAAAAGCGGAACAGTCATGTATCAGTCATTACATATGTGAAACATGTTTTCGCTAATCTTAGTGTACATTTGTTATTAGCGGAAAATGTGGTACATTCAGATTTTTCTCCTTAAAGCAAATTAAGTAATTTATAGGCACATTCTGACCAGAGGAATAAGGTAAATATTGTGCTGTGTAAATATTATGTTACCACCTACTTTGCTGCTAATTACATTTTCTCCCCTCGATCTCTTTAACCGAGACTTTCGTGTATGCTTAAATAAAATCGTTGTGCTTCAACGAAGCTTTCTTTTGCGCAACATTCTGTAGGCTTACTCATCTTGACCAGCAGAGGGCAGCACTTCTGCTATCCTTTTGCACAACAGGCCTCATTTACTCGTTTACAGCCACAACTTGAGTGCTTTTAAAAATCTTTTATTTGAAATACACATTCAGTGGAGACATTCTGTTAAAAAATTACGATGGGATCTGTTTGGATCCCTGCAATATACAGTCTGTGACAATGCTGGTCTTCTTGAGCACTAAAAGTGCCGGCATCAATGTTAACAAGAGAACACACAGACATGATATATAAGTTTTTAATATGTCCAAAATTATATCACATTTGATGTAGTATAGGTCTAAACAACGATGGAAATAACGTTTCATTTTATATTTTATTTTACATGATCAACACTATATTATACACTATATTGTCCTGAGTCTGTAATTATGTAGAGAAAAAAAATTATGTATTTAAAGAAAAAAAATATGTATTCTTTACATGTATACTGATAAATAGAAACACATAGAAATCTTATACAGACATGATTTCAGCTCTCATAGGCTTCCATGAGTATCCTTCTTAAGTTTTATGTAATAAATGATATGTAATTTCATTGCTGTCACTGCCATATCATTACAGTAGCTGCTGCACTTTGATTTGTATATTGCAGTGATACTGATAAACTGCATGTAATGCACACTGTCACAGAGTATAAGTGCAGGTGAGGACTTGCTGGCTTCTCCGGTGAAACCCCGCAGTGTTGTGATGAAGGTGGCACCCTCATCTTCTGAGCTTTAAGCGCTGTAGAGGAGGCTGCTGTGCGTGGTCTGATCAGTTGACTATGAGTTGTCCATTCTCTCATACCCCTGTGGCATTAGCCCAACTGGGAAAGGTGTCTAGGCTAAATAAAACTCTGCCCCAACTGTTTACCGCCAACGTGATGCACAGGATACCAATGATATTCATCACAATACCTGTTTTGGCCTGAGGACAGAAAAAAAAATCTTTCAAATTCTAAAATTTAAAAGTAGAAAATCCATCTTATTGTTGTTTATGGTTATATATATATATATATATATATATATATATATATATGTATGTATATTTGCAAAAGTCAAACATCACCTTCATTTCCAGTACTTAGTATATCCATTTTTTAATTTACAAAGTTTAAAATTACAAAGTTTAGTCTTAAATGTTGGTTGCACATTCTTATTCTTATAATTCAATAATCTCAAACATTTTCAATGATGATGAGGTCTGAGAAAAGCAGCTCACACCTCTGAGCTGTTCTGAGAAAACCAGCAAAGCGAACTTCGTTGGTAGATTTGCAGAATATCTCCCTTTTTGTTGATTTCCTTTCCTCAGTAATGGCTTCTTGACAGCTACACATCCTTTCATACCCATAGTGTTGAGTTGTCTTCTCACAGTGGAAGGATGGACAGAAATACCTAGGGCTTTTTTTCTAGATCTAAAACAACACTCTAACCTGGGGCATTTTCTCTACATCTTTTAATATTTTTTTAACTGCAGTTTTGGAAGATTTTACCATTTCTTAGACAAGTGAATTATTTTATGTCTAATCTTCTTAGAAAATTACCTACTGGCTCTCCCTTTTTCGTTACGCTGTAATATGTAGGCCTTCCAGAGTCACTGTTTGTACTCTATTAACACTATATATTGTATCCAGTCACACCAAACAAAATTAACTGTCTGTATGTTTCTTTGCTGAGCTGAACTCTGATACTCTAAAAGAGTATCAGAGTTCAGAGCAATTTAGAGTAAGTGTGTATATACAAAAAACAATAAAGTTAACTAGTTGAAACATCTTGTTTTTGTTCTGTTTTCAATTAAATACAGGTCAAAAACGATTTGCAAATCATTGTTATTTACATTTTTCCTACAGTCCTAACTTTTTTTAGATTTGGGTATGTATTTACTTACAATCACTTTATGTTTTGCTCGCACTCACCATGTCAGACACTTTCAGATAACCGTAGGAGAAGACGATAGCATTTGGAGGGGTTGCCACTGGAAGCATGAAGGCAAAAGATGCGCTGAGGGCGCAAGGAATCATGACGTACAGTGGGTTCACATGTATGGACTGGGCCTGACAAAGAAAGATAATTAGTTAGCTCAATCTTCTATTTCTAAAACAAATAATTTGGCTTTGAAAATGTTAGAATTAGGAAGTTGTAAAGAAAATAAATGTCAAAATGTAAGTATTTTATTTCATTCACAGAATATCTGACCAAATATCTAATGTATAGTTATTACAACTATCTTATTGGAAACAGTCCTGTTTCAGTGTCGCAGTTTGGCTGGTACTTTGCCACTGACTACATAAAAGGTTGCAAATCAATCTTACTTGTGGAAATCACCTTGCAATACTATTAAACAGTGGAAAGTGGGTAGCTTTTTGCAACAGCAATTAATCATCATACTTGTTTTAAAATTATTTCAACAGATTATTGGCATTAGTTATACAGCATTAGTTCAACCCCTTAAATGGCAAGTTCATAAATCAGTTATTAATCTTAAACTGTATTATTCAGTAACTATTATTATTACTCGCTCACTGATATGTAGTATGATAATATGAGTGTAAGTCTAATATGAGTGTGAGGAACTGAACATACAAGGCCTTAAAGTTTAAGTGGTTAAAGAGAAATTAGAAAATTCTGCATAATTAAATCGTCAAAATTCACGGTGGTTTTACTGAGTGAACCAAAACATGTCTTTATATATTTAATCTATAAGTACATTTGTTTTCATATGTAATACTGATGAAGATAAAATAATAAAATAGTGGTAAATCTGAAAAAATATGTTTTAGTTGGGATTATTTTGCCTCACAACACCCTGCATGTACCTAACCACCATGAGTGTATTTTAAAAATACATTTTAGGCCAAAATCTGATCTCAAAACTATCGTAAAACACTGACAGAGACATAAGGCAGGGTATTCAAAACCATATCATATAAACGCTTCCTGTGAGGTAGCTTTTAGAGACAATAAATGCATTGAATGTCTGGTTCCAATAACCGTAATTGTGAAGAGTTCTCACAAATCTAAATGTACCAAGCACAAGAATTCCTGGCTTAATGTCTGGTCACTGAAATCCAGTAAAGCTAGGGGTCATGGTGGACATCCAAAACAGGCTGGCAGTATGAAATAAACCCACTCAGGTAGAAATGGAGATGGACTGAAGGGGAAGATGAGAGTACAAAAAAAACAAGAGCTTGCTCTGTAGCCTGTATCCCTTTGTTACGCAGACGGAGGAACAAGTGCAGCGCACACTCTGGTGCCAGATTTGAGACTGCTGCTGGCGTTGGGGCTAAACCCTCCATTAGCCTCAATGAACCTTCTTTCTTTCTCCCTTTCCCTGATATTAAGATCTTCATACGCTCTGCCGTCTGAGTCACTTCAGCTCAGGTCCTGCACAAATCTCCCTATTCATGGGCTCTCTTCAGTTCATTAAGAAATGGTGATTTGTGCCAGAAGCTTCACAACAGCAAAAAAGGGTGAAAGGTGAGCAAAGGGAGGGGAAGGGGGCCCAAGGGAGACAAGGCTGTGTGTTACAGCATGCAGGAGTGAGTGGGGTCTTTTGGAGTCACCGTGTAGCTCTGAAGCCCTCTGTGAAGTATGTGTGCATAAATGTGTGTCTCAACCTGATGAGACAAACTGATATTCTCTTTCAGTCTGGACAGAATGAGGCCACAAATGTTTAAACTTAAAAAGTAGGAACACACTGATATCACTTTTGCCCTTCTGATACGGATAACTGATATTTAAATATCTGTCAATACAGAGTACAGATACTCAATAGGTAAATCCTGTAAATCCTGATATTTATACCATTTCACATTTTATATATTTTAGATTTAGTAACAGCAGTGTTCTGTGTCACAAATAAATGTAATAAACCAATACTAAGCATAAATTAATGTCATTTAGTGACTGGTTAACTTCACATTTGAATGATTTCAGAGCTACCAAATGTCACAGTGCTCTTTGGTATGGTTTGTCTTTAAAAGCTTAATTAAAATTAAATAAATCAGAAATATTGTTGTAGTTGTCCAAGCTCAGTGTAATGAGGGGTGAAACTGACAAAAATGAAACAACGAAAATGGGGGCTATGAAAATGCCTTTTGAGTTATAACTTGTAATGTGATCAGATAAAATCAACTGTTACTGACTTAAAATGGTGATTTAATAAAAACCATCTTCCGTCATTCATCATCAAGGCGGTTTTTGTATGAGGGTGGAAATAAATATTCTTTAATAAAAAAGAGGAAATTGAAAACTAAAATGGTGGTCAAATGATTTTATAAACATAATCAATACTTTAATATATTTTTGGAATGATGCAGCATTTATAATTTAAAAGTTTAAGTTTTGTTAATTCCCTCATTTATCATTTAACTTTGGTCAGTTTGATTGCACAAGGTCAGATAACCCTCCCAAAGCAGAGAAAGCAAAACTTTTTCAATCTAGTCACTGACTTGCATTAAACATATTTATGTGTTTTACTCAATTAAACATAACAAATGTACATTGTCAGGGCTATTTTACTTTACCTGTGTGACCAAATACCACAAGACAGTGAAAGGTGAAAAGGAAGGAAATTAAAAGATAAACAAGCCATGTAACAAAACTAACAAAGTAACAAAAATTGAGTGAGTTGAATTATAAATCCTCCAAAAGGCCAAAAATGACTTTTTGATTTTTATCAAAACATCTGTGACTATTTTTATTTCACATATGCTTTTATTTTTATTTAATTTTCATCATTTTTGTTCATTCCACCCCTCATACAGTGCGGGTATGTTTAAGAGAAAGGAATTGATTCTGTACCATAGAGGCGAGTATAGGCAGAAACAGGGTTGCCGTAGCCACGTTGCTGGTGCACTCGGTGAAAGTGGCTACCATCAGACACACAATAATGGCAATGGCCCATGGAGGAATGCTCTGGAGTGGAGACATCTGCTCTCCAAGCCATGAAGATAAGCCTGAGTCCTTTAGGTGAGGAGAGAAGGCAGAAAAGTGAGAACAGAAGGTACAATACTGCTCAAAAATCTGGATTTACTTGCTATACTAATAGTTTTTGTTATTCTATATTTATTATTATTATTTTATTCTACAATAACTTGAACAGTGTCTGTTGTATTAGTATATTAGTATTAGACACCACAGGAAATTTTAGATGGTTAATTCAAGAATTTATTAATTGATAAATTATATACTGTAATGATCTAATTATAGAATATTTGATCATCTTTGACATACAAGGATATCTGGATGTTGATTTTATTATAACTCCATTCTTAAAGCTATAGAGCTTTCCAAGTGATCATCTGCAGATGAATCATCAGCTACAGAATCTACAGAATCATCTACAGCTCTTTTCATGCTCTAGGCACACATTTTAACAGCTTCCTGTTTTATTAAATTCAAATTATTAAAACTTTCACATTAGAAGTATTTTTACATGTCTTTGTCACAAAATAGGTTATATACTAACAAAATAGGTTTATACTATTGAAAATAGTGATTCCAAACTTTTGGGCATTTTACCTCACTGCCCTTAGCCAGAGCAAAGCCTCCTCCAAGCAGCAGCACAATGCTCCATGGCATCTTCTGCTGGGCCACCTTCCAGGTCAGCAATGCTGATCTGGGTTCACTGTCAGACTGGGGCACTGAAACAGAACCCATACGATTGACACATACTATTATTTTTCTGAATGCTCATAATATAACTCAGAGCTTCCCAATCCAGTCATCAAGGACCTCCAGTTAGGGTTCTCTGATATGAAGAAAATACCATAATGCAATTACTCTGCTACACTGCGATATGCCTTGCAATTTATTTAAAACACACTAATGAACCCTCAGTGTGACATTATTATTTTTGACCAAAATAATTTATGTTTGTTGGATCACATGAATGCCTTGATTTGTCCAAACACCCATGATTGCTGACAGTTCACAATAAAATAAACAGTGATTAGTCAGAGGCTCATTTGCATATTGTAGACTTGTCTGATTTCAGGATTGTGAAGCCCAATTTTGTGGTAATAATTAACAACAATATATCATGCAGCCCTACTTCCAGCCAATCTGTGTTTCTGTTTTATGAAACCACCTGATTCAGGTTGTTAAGCGCAGTACAAAACCAGTGACTGCGTGTTGGAAGTTGGAACAGAATAGAAATATGGACTGTCTGAGGGACGCTGAGGGACCTGACACAGGGCACATTAAACTCTTACACAAGTGAACTCAGTGCTTTAACACAAACAATGGATTTCAACTATATGGGTCCACAGAGACCTACAGCTGATATTTGACCTCACCTGTGTCAAAGCTCTGTGACCTCCAGGAGCAGAGGCAGGGGGGTTTAGAGGGCAGCACAAAGAGCAGAGCAGCTATAAACACTGCCACAGTGGCATCGGTCACGTATCTGTGCAAAGGAGGGTCATTGATTAGAGGCTACCAGAAAATTACGTCACAATGAAGAGAACTATTTAGTAAATGTGCTATGGACTGCTGTATACATTCTTGTAATTAGGGTGTATTTTACATTAAGTATGTGTTCTAATTTCCCTATTTCATCAAATGTCAGTGGTACATGCTTACAAATGCTGAGGAAAAACATTGGTGAAATACTGAGAAAAGCTTTTTAACCAGATGCAGAAAAATATTCTGAGTTGAAGAGTTTTAAAAATGCACGTGAGAACATGTGAGCTGAATTACTGACAACTGCACCGCTATGTACACAGCCACTGTTTACTTATAGTTTCCTCTTGGAAACTCCATTCACAAACCATCGGACATTTGACCCAGATAAGAGGATATACGCCACATCATCTGATACGAGAGGGGACATATTAGGTGCACCAGGCTAAAGATCAACCTGTTTGTGAATCCTGTCATTTACTTCACCACACTCAGAGGCATGTTTTCCTGAAAGAGACATGCTGTTCTTTTTTCTTATTTTGTTTAGTTTTTTCCATGTTTTCAGATAACAGTTTCTTAGGTTGGGGTGTTTTTCAGTGTTTGCTCGGATCTCAATTTACGACAATGTTCTGGACACCTAGTGCTTTAGAGGACACTTGATATTTCAGTTTACATTGTTTCAGTCTTGGCTCAAACCTATCGGTGCAAACATCCTATAAAACATTTACCTATACACTACGCACGATGATGCTTATTTTGTATTCCGCTCAGTGACAGATAAGATAAGAAGGTTAGGGTACAAATTTCTTTATGCAAATAATAAGGCTATTAAACAGAATGTGTTGTGTTATGTTCAGTCAACACATCCAGTTGGCACACAAGCTCTTAGTCCAGGTATTGGTGACATTTTTGTTTCTCCTGTTTTATATTAAGAAACATATTGCAGAACCAGGCTTGTAAAAAAGCTGAATTTGGTTGTTTGTGGATTGTGAAAAACAAATTCATACTCTTTTTCTGCATTAAAGAGATGTGTTGCCCAACCATGCACGAAGCCTGGGTCACGTGTGAACCACAGCACCACCAGGAGAATAAACAGCGCTAAAACATTTATCTCGCCGAAGGACATGGGCCCCAGTAGCTGATGCTCCTCACGGATCACATTATATGCAGCAATCTCTTTCTCTGTCTTCACAGTGCCACAGCCAAATGTTTTTCTGAAGCTAGAGTGAAAGAGAAAATGAGAAAGAGAAAACAACAATCTGTGTCAAGACACACCAGTAAATACAGCTGAAAGAGTTAAGATTATTTTTATAGTTAACTGGAATGAAATTTTATGGCAGTGAGTAACTAAAGGCCTCATCATAAACTGATATTTGACTCAATTGATAACACTTACTTGAAGCCCAGGAAAACAAACTGCAACCAAACCCAGGCCGCCAGGAGCATAATGATCATGTTCGGGAAGGCAAAGCCAAACCAGGAGGCAAAGTTAATGACATCTGGGTTGTCTTGGAAGAGCCTGAGGACAGAGTCCAAGACTTCAGACAAATAAAGACTGAGAAAGATTTAGAATGTCCACATAAAGCCCTGTTACAAATAAATATTTAGTCTTCAAAAATCTAGCCACCAGTAGTGTCGACATACACTTCTATTAGGGAGATTTCACTGGCTTTTGCAAAACAAACACTGCAAAAGGCTGAAATATGCAAATGAGATCATCTAACCATTCACACTGTTTCTGGTGTGAGCTGTTAGCACCTTAATAAATCACAGCTCCAGATGAATATTTTGCAGATCTTTTGATGAATCAAGGTATTTATGAAATTTGAAAAAAGATTAGTAGATTATAGAAAGTAGATCATTTTAAAAACATTTTCAAAAATCACATTATCGATTCAACACTGTGTTATAATATATTTCAAGGCGTATAACAAATGCAATGTTTAGTAATATAATTGCAGTATTAGTACTAATTAGGGCTGAACGATTAATCTTTTTTTTATATTGAACTTGAAGGAGTGCAGGAGAGCAGGTTTACATGAGCCCCCAAGCACAGGGCTGTGGAGTAGTGGCACTGCGTTCTCTGGAGTGATGAACACCATGCAGTTCCTTTGGGGTGGGTTGGAGCGGCTTCTATGATCCAGATCTGATCATTCAGCATCAGTACTGGACCTCAATAATGATCTTGTGGCTGAATGCAATCAAATCCTCAAAGCAATGTTCCAATGTCTAGTGCTAAGTCTGCCCAGAAGAGTAGAGACTGCTACAACAGCAAAGGGGGACAAACTCCCTATTAACACCCTTGATTTCAAAAATGAAGTTCTGGAATGACTGAAATTTGGGGAGGACCAAATTTCACCTTTCTGTTCAATTCCTTATCTTTACCTTCCATTTTCTATGGCAAACTTTTAACAATCCCAACCACCACCCCATCTTCTCACTGTTGTTCCTCAGGTCTGTGCCAGTCCTATCACTGTCCAAAAGGGGCAGTCCGGCCTTCTACCAACAAGCAGGAGCCACTCAGAACTCCAGCCCGAGTCATCAGAGTTCTGTCCTTTGCACACTGCCTCCAAGATGGCATCGGTGCGTAGCGACATCTCAGGTGTTCTCCTACCTGTTATGTGTATGTTTTTATTGTTTGTGTCTCTGTTGTGTCAAGTGTATACGGCCGTTACTTATGATTGGGAAACTCTGCTTTATATTAGAGCTCATGTTGCGTTGTTATCTGGTTCAAAGCATTGGATTAAATCCCAAAAAGCCTTTTCCCCATCCTTACTGAAGCTGACAGTCCCCCCAGATATCTGTTGTCTTCACTGCTATGGGCGACAGTCTAAACGGAGAAATCAGTGTCGGAAAAAACAAGGTTCTTTGATCCGGCTGAAGCAGCTGTTTAATTAACAGTCGTGGACATTCTGTGAACCGGGCCTTTTCGCTCTCTCTGCTGGCATGCTCAGGCAGCTCGGCTGCTCGATTCTGCAGCATTCTCTGAAGGCCCGGTATGTTTGGCTGCATCCCGTTCAGTCTGATCTACTTCCCTGCATCTCTCCAGTGAAACCTTTCTTCAGATCCGGAGGTATTAACTAGAATAATTTGTGAAAAATCTCCTGTGTATCTCCGTTGAAGCTGGAGTATTGCTTAGCTGTGAAACTAGCACTAATTAATGCTTGATCGCTTTCAAATAAGACATTTATGCTGAATGACTTTATTTCCTCAAATGGTCTGGATTTTATGTTGATAGTCGAAACCCGGCTTAAGAGAGGAGAGAGTTGTTGACCCTCTGAATTGCGCCCATTGGACTATAGACATTTAAACTGTTCACCTTTAATTGTTTACCTGTGTCTCTGGGTGCATTTGCAAGTTTTGAGCTGCTGGCCTTTAAAGTTCAAAGATCGGTGCTGTGTTCTGTAGTCTACCGTCCTCCTATGTCACACTGTATTTTTTTATCTGAATTTTCATATTTGTTGTCATCTATTGTACTTGATTTCGACAAAGAGTTATTAGGGTGGGATTTTAACATCCATTAAGATGATGCTAGTAATGGATTTACCTCAGAATTTTTAAATATTATTGAATCTTTTAATTTTGTGCAACATGTTTCTGGCCTGACTCATAATCTACAGTCACGGAAGACCAGGCCAGGTGATGCCCTGTTAAAAACATAGCCTAGCAAGCTGTAGGCTACAAGCCAGATGGATGACAGCTGTGGAGCATATCGTGACCCATTTCAGAAAAACAGGTAGTCTGGTAATTGAATACAAGTCCAAGCACAACTTTGAAAGCCATAAAGAATATCTAATACATCTATAATTCAAACTTGTCATCAATCGTTCCTGTGTTGGTCTCTAACCAGTGTGTGCGGCATACTTTTGTCAAATGATTGCCAAATTAGTCCAAAAGGTTGTGATGATGATATGAAAACAAAACAAATATCCTATTAATTTCTGTGCTTTTTCAAGGCAGCGCAGTCGCATGTATTATACGACCCCAACTCCACGCTGGAATTCAAGCACAGTGGCGGAGAACTTTAGTCCATGTGTACTTTCCATTAATCATTCAGCCCTAGTACAAATAGTAGAGGAAAAGAGAGAGGCAGAGGACCTACTGGCTCATCTGTCCTGTGAGAACCAGGTTGGGTCCAGTTCCAGTGAGAGTAGCAGTGCCGCCGATGCTGGCAGCGTAACACACACACAGCGTCATGCCCTTACACATCCTCAGCCTCTCCTCAGCCTCCCTGCACTGTTCCACTGTTTCAGCATCCAGGGAAAAACTGAGGCCATTAAGAACAACTGCAAAAGACAAGAGTGACACGTTACCAAAAGCTCACATACAATGAACACCGTAAATGGTCATTGCACCAGTCCAGTGGTTCTCAAGCTGCTTTGTCATGTGCACTTGAAAATTGGTAAATAAAAAACTGACAGTTCACCTGCACCCTTAAGACAGGCTTTCAGATTGTTTCTAATAACGAACTTAACTATGTCAATACTGCACACTCTAGTACTCAAGAGTTTCATTGCCAAGGATGTCACAGCTATACAGATTAACCCCTTAAGTTTTACTACACACTTCTATAATCTAAGAATAGCTGAGCCAGTTTGCATTGAAGTCCCTGTAGTTACTGAATAATAAACCTTAGTATGTAATAAGCCTGGGATTTTGAGAGGTTAAACAGGTGTCCAGTGCAATTTCAAAATCAGTAGGCAGTTGCTTAATGTGCAGTCAAAACAGCCATTAGTCGAAATTATTAATTCTTCAGGAGATATTTATGAGGTGATTAGATATAAGATAGCCCACTTGTATAAAAAAGGGGAAAATCAAAGGAAAATAAGCAAAAAATAAAGACAGAAGAAAAAAGATACAGAGTAAGTGGGACTCCTAACAACTGTGGAAGACCTGGTTGACCACCAAAATTATCACCATCATATGAACAGTATGTAATACTTTCTTCTTTGAGAGAGAGGAGAAAATTAAGCTCCACTCTTGCTTTAGATCTGAAAAAAATCCACAAATAATACAACTCAAGGCTATGAGTCTAAAATGATGTGCTGCTGTCAAGATGTTACTGAGAAAAGCAAATAGACAAAAAAGAAGAACATTTGCAAAACAAACAAAGAAGCTGCTGTTGTTGGGATTACTTGGATCATGAGAAGCAGAAAATACAACCAACTTCTAAGATTGAACTTTAAGTTGCATAATTATTTGAAAAGCTGAAACTGGTGGACACATTAAATACTGAAAAATTTGATATTGTATTTATACATTGAGACTTCTTTGTAATGTTCGTTAAATATGTTTTCTGCTTTTTCCTGATGCTGAAAAATAAATAATGTGTACTATATGGCAGTACAAGGATAGTTAACACAGCATAACCACATAAAAGAGATGATGCTTCTATGCTTATAACTGCATTACATGTATTTTAAAGCACAGGTCAGCCTGCTCCACTCACCCTGGCCATCAGCCTGTTTCTCTGACTGCTTTTCATCATTCTCTGAAGAGGGAACAGGCCGAGGTTCCTCTTCTCTTGCTGTGTTGTTCAGCTGGACCAGTACAGCCTGAACTATGGGCACCATCATGGCTGTGGTGGCAGTGTTACTGATCCACATGGACAGGAAGGCCGTCACACCCATAAAACCTAACATCAGCCTGTGCAGAATTGCATTACACAACACATTACACACCCGAACTTGCTTTCACAGTGAATTTTTTGCTTATCTATAAGCAAAAGTATATAGTGACAACACTGATAATTACACTCCTACGTGTGACAATAAAGATATCAGTATATAAAGAATACTACTGAACTGAGTGTGGCTTCAACATGCTGCATATCACCACGCAGCCTGTGTTATCTTTCAGATGAATTACCACCATGCTGCCAATCAAATTTGCCATAAATATTTAAGCCTTGAGCCGTACACATATACATGCCCTTGTCTGCCGCAAAGCCCCAGACACAAAATATTATATGATTGACTAAGGGGTGTAAATCTCCAACCTCAAATGGATATAAAATTTTGTGCACTGTCAACACTGACATTACACAACAATTTACATATCCATGGAATACAGACAATAAAACAATACCTCAAGCCTAGGGGTGTAACGATTCACAGAATTCAGGATTCGATTCAATACAATGTGGTGAAGCCTCGATTTGATATATTTTCTGATACAGCAAAAATAAACAGTGGCTGAAAATGTGACTTGTTAGTGTTTCCATTAACAGTTTATTAGAGCAAAAGTACAATATTTGAAACTAAGCTGTACTGTACGGTGTCCCGATCTAACACTCTAGCCACAAGCTGGCACACTAGTCACGATACAATGCTAATTATACTTCACTGAATATTCTTATAGTCAATTATAGTTGGTTCTAACCTTTCAAAATCAACACAGTAGAATCACCACCTTCATTATGCATTAATGCATTTTACACCCCATTTATATTTACATTTATTCAGTAAACAGGCCCTCTTATCCAGAACGATGTACAAACAGCGCCGAATGTGTCAACGGTTACTGTGCCAGTCACTCACAGAGCAGGCCGCACTCCAACGATGAGCAGGACTCGCAGCGCAATGCGTTTGTGCAGGTTCCAATGCTCTACAGCCACGGCCACCATTAGCCCACCCAAAAACAGCATGTTCGTGTCCTGCAGGTACTGCATGCACACCTACATGCACAAGCACCTGACATTATAACCTTAATGATGGGCACAATAAACTCTTTACTGTGGTGTATATCAAAGGTTTTGGTAAGGCTTTTATAGCATTTATTATAGTTATACACTTATATTATAGTTATAAACTGCAAAGCACTGGTGTGCGTATCAAGGGGCCAGAACTTACGTCTTTGGACTCCATGACACCAAATAAAGGGAAGAGCACAACAGGTAAGAGAGCGGTGACGGCCAACGGCAGCACCTCCATACACCAGTACACTGCCATCAGCCCAATAACGTACGCACAGCTAGCCTCCTAGAAAGAACCAGAACATCACAAGGATGAGCTGACAGGCACAGAACACAAAACCTCTTCTCATTCACCAGAAGCCTTCAAAGTATTGAGAGTTTAAGTTAAATAACTCAAATCATTTGACCAAAAATTATTCCCTGAACTAAGTATGAACAAAACATGTGTTTATTGTTGTATACACTTAAGTAAACTGAGTAAACTGAACTGCATTCATTTTGTTGATCTTAAATGAGTATTTTGGAGTATAGTTATATTGATAGTTATATAGTTATTTGTATTGTAGTTATACTAACTCAATGCAACTAAGTAACTGTAAATTTAATTCCCTGCTAGGCTTAACTAGGCCATCGTTGTAACAAGTTCAGATTATACGGCAAAATCGCAATAATAACAGACACTGATAACAATGTCCAACTTAATTTTACTTCGGACCATCTTGCCAAAAACTGACAGATTAGCCTAGAGCGCAAAAGTAGTTTTTGTGGTATTTCACTACCACAAAACTACACTCAGCAGGTGGAAACTTGGTAACTCAGGTTTCTCAATGCTTATTTGAATTCAGTGATGAGAAAGAAGTTCAGAAAGTAAGTATACACTCAAGGGAAGGTAGGGTAAACAAGGTGGAAAGACAAATATATATGCAGATATATGGTACCAAGAGCCAATAGGAACGAAGTGGATTTCACTCAAGAAGGTTGCATTGACCAAACATTGATCAAGTGTAGCTGAAAAGTCTAAACTACCTTGTAATAAGCTGTTTCAACTTAAAGATCCTGTTTGATTGTCTGAATTCATCCAAATAAATTTATGAGAAAAGTCCAAATCATTTAAATGTAAACATTTTACATTTGTTAGCTACAAAATTTCAGAATATATTGCACTTGTGCTGAGGCAATCAGCTACTCCTGATAGACATCAAGACTATTTCATGTGCTTGGCATCCATGACTTTTAACATAGCTAATTCTGAATAGGTTAAAACTAGGACTAATGCATGGAGTAAACAGTCCTTCATTATAAATGTGCATATGTTGGTAGAAATGGGGCAAAACAACACAGGCACACTACATTTTCACCAATCTTTAAAAACAACCCCTTATTGGCCTGTCTGCATTTGCATGTACTGTCAACTTAAATAAAAATAGTGACTATAACACATTTAAATAAAGTTGCCCTAACTTAAAATATGCTAAAAAGAAATATTTTAAAATGACTGAGTCACTATCTCAACAATTCATTTCTGAGTTAGTTTGAATTTTTCAGATTAAGTTACTCCAAATTTCTTTTTATGTTGTATTAACTTAATTATTTCTTTACGATGTGCAGTTAGGTTTTGCATTGTAGTGCAAAAAAGTGAACAGCCTTAATTATTAATTAACTATTAATTAATTATTAATTAAAATCAATGTTTCCTTAAAGGAGGGGTGGTGGTGTGGCCAAGGAATAGTGGCCCAGGGATTAAAAAAAAAGTGAACAGCCTGATTGAGAATCACTGCCCTAAAGAACCTTTTAAAGGACTGTTAAAGTTTCATTTTTGTAGATGAGTGTGAAAAAACCTTTTTGAACTTTAAAGAACCTCCACATATGTAAAGGTTCTATCCCACACCCAGTTGAAGGTTTTTCCTTGAACATTAAGAGCGTAATTTATTTATTTTAGAGTCCTTCGGTGGCCAGATTTTTGATAAATGTTCTGGTCGAGTTTATGAATCACACATCACGTCACGAACTTTCCCAAGACAGGAAAGTCCAGCAGTGAACATGCTGTTAACACAGGTACTACAATAAGCACATTTCAGTCGTGGTAGTTTAACTAAGCCCTAAAATCTTGCATAACATTCAGACCAAAATCCCCATTTAATTTTTTTCCCACTCAGTCCACGTCTTGTCAGCGTCACCTGTCAGTCAGGGTGGCCTTTAAGTTAATAACAAAACAAGGGTTCTTCATCCTCATATCTTACCTCTGATAATGAATCAATAAAGTAAAACAATGATTTACCTTACAAGTGCATAAATAAAGAAACAGACAGAACTGGTGTGAAGTGTTTTGCTTGGAATTCTGTTGCTCACTTTGAAACAAAAAAAAATAATAATCATTTTTATGTTCACTGGTAAAAAAGTTAATTTAACATAAACAGCTGATGCACAAGAAAGTGCAAAGTTCCCCCAGTTATTCAGTCACTTAGAGCCAAATCTGAAAGAAACTAACTGGGCAGTTGTTCATTTGCAAAACTGATCCTGGTGCCTAATGCAGAGCTGGACATTCCATAGGTTTCCAGAGATGGAGGCCCACTTTTCAGAGGCAGAATAGAGTGGCTCAACCAGTGAATCCCAGCAAAGACAGGCTGGTTAGGGAGTTCCCACGGTCTGCCGGAGAAGAGTGTTTCATGAGGACAACAAAGAGTAAAGCCAACACGGGGGGCTACGGGGAACAGAGGGTGGTCACTGCTCAAGCCCCTTAGACAAACACTGCCTTGTTGGGGGGCTGGCTCCATACACTTTTCCCCTTTAACCGCTGCTTTAAGCCGGCATCAGCACTCAGCTCTCATTGTCGGAGCAACTCTCTCCAACCACGTGTTCCGAGTTAAACCACACTTTCAGCTTTCACAGATTCAGATTTAGCCAAAAAGAGTAGAAAAGTAAAAGTTCACCACAGTTATCGTTCTTTTTCCTGCCTTGTTCGCCTCAAAGTCTGTTCAATGTTCTGTCGTCGTTTATCAGGTTATGGATCAACTGTCGCGGTGCCGTTACAAGATCTGAGTCCAGTTACAGAGACCCGCTATCGTCTCTAACTCCACGACTCTGAGGTAAAAGCTGAGTATAAGTGAGTGTTTCATACCTTCGTTCCGATAACCAGAGGCAGCGGAAGAAGAAGAAACGGAGTGCATAAGAGGATGAGTCCATTTTTCGCCCCCCAGATGTACTTAAACACAGGTACCACCATTATGTGATGTTCGGAGTATCTCTGCCAGAAAACAGTGCGGAGCGCGCGCTGCACCAGCTGAAGAGGTGCGCGAGCGAGCAACGTCACTCACGCGCACATACACACAGACACACACACGTGCGCGCGCACAATCCCTCTCTCTCTATCACTCAGCCTCTTTGTCGGGGTCTCTCTATCATTCTCTCTCTCTCTTTTACTCACTCACACTCACTAAGCACGCGCACATGCAGTGTGATCTGTCAGAAAATATTAACTTGTGCACTGTGGCATGAGATTTATTACACTGAATACATCGATACAGGCCAGTTAGAACAGGACCTGTAAACAGCAAGATAACAGAACAGTAGAGCGGCAGTGCTCGTGTTCTGAATCGATGTTTTACTGTCCACATACAGATAAACTGAAAATGTTTCGTATCTTCAGACCGCCAGAGCGTTTCCGACAGAGTACATGTACTCCAGCTGAGCCAGCTGCAGACAGACACAGTCACCTATACCAAACAAGCTGCGTCCCAATTCAGGGGCTGCGTCCTTCGGAGGCCGCATTTGAAGGCCTTCGCCAGCCAACATATCCCGAGGTTCATTGCGCGTCGGCGGAGATTCGAGAACATGGCAGCGTCAGCAGAGGAGTGAACGGCGGCTGAGGACCCTTTTAAATGTGTGTATTGGGTTTAAACTAAATTGAATAGCTAACGATACAAATGTTAAAAAAGCCAATAAGGCCTGAAGCGATTTTGTTTTGTTTTAGGGAGCAAGGAGCAGACAGAGGGAAGTATCTCCAGCTCTAATAAATAAAAAAAAATAAAACAACAAAATTAAGGTTTCTGGCTCCGTCTTTAAAGAACTTTAACCTTGACAAGAGTGGCGTTTTATGACGCACCAGTAAGGGCAGGAGCAGCGGCGCTGTGACGCAAACAGGAAATCCGCTGTAGAGCAGACCGTCTCATTTCAGTTCAGCCTTCGCCGATCTACACAGCCTTTGAAGGACACGCCTTCATAGACCGCATCCTTCGAAGGATGCAGCCCCTGAATTGGGACACAGCTACAGTCACCTCGTGACACCAGCGTGTGACCTAGCCGAGCTTATATACTCGCATCACAATGCAGTCTTCCTTCCCTTCTCGGACCGAGTAATTTGTTAACTCAGCACAGCCTGGTGACTTTGTCTGAGCTTTGAAAACCTTCGTCCTCTACAGGCTGTTTCTTTACTGACATTCTGGAACTTCGGGAGCAAGCCATCATCATCTGAGCTGCTCCATCAGCAGTGCTCAGCTTCGGCTAGCCTGCCCTACTCAGCTCGGCCAGCCTGCCCTGCTCAAGCCCTCTCATGCTGTGATTGAGCTAGGTCTGTGCCCGGTGGCTTTGTTTCACACCAGTAAGTGGAGCTGTCACCAGTTATAGATTTCCTTTCTAGCAAGGCTCACTCGGAAACAAGAGAAACTGAGTTTTTGTTGCTACTTCCTGGCGTCTGCCTCTGTCTCAGCTAGACTGCAAGCCTTAGGCATCTGTTACGGCTTGCCGGTCCTCCTCAAACGAGCTAGGTTTGCTAACATCAGCTGATATAACAGCGCTATTAGCTACAAGGTACTTTTGAGTAGCCAGGCCTACCCGACTTGAAGACCATGCGAGGTAAGCCAGTTGCGTCTCTCCACGATGCATTAGTCGAAGTGGACACTTACGGAACAGAGATAACAGGCTACTACTTCTCTGTTAGCTTACAGTAGCTACGTCTTAAACTTCCTCTCATCAGGTTTGCAGTCGTGTAACACAGCCTTCCGTGGCTAAAAACCTGTCCCTCCTGGGCAGTTGTGTTCAATGCCCTAATATTCTCGAGCCACTTGACAGCCATGACTTATGCCCATCTTGCCTTGGATTGGATCATCTCCATGAAGCGCTGGTTGATCCTTTTATGAACTACACCATTATACTGCTGCCTGAGGAGCTGTGAAAGAAAAGCAAATCCACAGTAGGATCAGACATGCTGCAGACGACAGAGACAAAGAGTCCATCTGTAGTTTGACTGAGAAGGTGGATTCACTATCCTTGGACATAGCCCAAATGAAGTCATTATTAAGGGCATTAACCAGCAAGATGGCTAGCCAGAACAACCCTATAGCCCCACTGGAGCCCACAGGGCACACTTTGTCTGCTATGAGGGAGTAGTTTAACATTTTCTCCATAGCAGTGTCAAAGACACATTTCCCGCTAATTTTGCCCAGGCTAAGAGTTCATTAAGAGGCACTCAGCTTACTTCAGAGCCTCAAACTGCCTCTTCATTGGGGCTTTTTTAAATGCACAGCCACAGAGGAGAAATTTTCCATGCCTGTTTGTCAGAATTTTATTACTGAGTTTAGAGCCACCTTTAAGTCTCGCCTGCGTAAGCCCAGACAGACCACAGCGGGTGAATGCTCCCCTCTATGGTGGACGTGGAGACCCATGGGCTAGCCCCTGTACTGGCGATGGATGCCTGTATTGCCTTTAACAAGGTTTTCCCTTACGAAGTGCTGCACCCCAACCCATCAGGTGCACTGGCAAGCTCATTGTGACGGCCCATGATCTTGCAATACAGTTAGGGAGACTAACTAATTTGTTGTCCTTTATCCTCCTCGCCCTGTATAGCATGCTGCAGAGCACTTGGACTGTTGGAGCTATAGAGGAACTCCTGAATACAGCCCTTTCAACTATTGGACTATTCAACTCAAACCATGGGTCGGTTGGTAGCCACTCTTATACATGTTTGACGGCAGGTTTGGCTAGCAAAAATGCCTCTGTCTGACTCATGCAGGGACACTCTTTTGGACTCTTTGACTTCCAGAGGATGGACTTTTTTTATGTGGTTTATGATGACATCATTGGCCCAGGAATGGGCTTTAGTGATCCTATAATCTATCCATAGCCTCACGCTGGGCTCATTGGTGCCATATCTGACGCTACTGGAACTTCAGGGCTTACAGCTGCCATGCAGGTAATTGCTCGGGGATGGCTTCGTTAGTGGCATAGCAGCTGGCTGAAAAGCCTCGGGCTGGACCTGGAGTGTCACAGATGAGTGAGAGTGAGCATCTCCTCAGAGTTTCTGTTAGCCCTCAGACTGTGGCACTCGAGTGTGTTCCTGTCTACTGGCATGACCGTGTGGCTGATTCCTTTATGAAGGGGGGTGGTGATGATAGACACATCCACCACTTCAAGGCTGCTCCTAAGTGTTTCTTTAAAGACAGCTCGCTTTTTCTATGGCTGAGTGTGTCTGTAAGTTTTTCATTAGCCTCATGTGTCTCCAGTGGCGCCTGGATGATGCATATGTTTTGTTGAGATCTTACTCTGCCTTCTTACCCAAGCACCTTACATGGACCAGTGTGATCCCAGACGGGACCAACTATGCCCAGTTCAGGCTCTGAGGACATCACTGCTGAGGATGTCACTGCTACAGCTAGGGCTTCACACAACAGATCAGAACAGATGTTGTATGCTTCTCTGAGTCAAGATGAGGTTTCCAGTCTCTAAGCAGCAGCTCTCCCACTGGCTAGGGCAGGGGTTCGCAACCCAAATGTTAAGAAGAGCCATTTTGTCCTTTCAATAAAAATCAAGCCACCTTGGGAGCCACAACATTTAATGTCCATTTTACCATCTTGGCTGTAAATATGTCTCAGTATGTGCTAATGTACTAGTAAAGGCTAAAAATATAATATAAACAAAAATGCAGACTTACTTTGCTGTACTTTAAGCTTTAGCTCAGCTGTACTCACTTTTCTCCCACCTCTGACAGGAAACTTTTCTTCAAAAATAGAATAGTTTCTTGTAAAATGTCTCTCAACCTTCTTCTTCTTGTTCAATTTTTCCCATTCCACCTAAAATGGTGTCAGAATATATCTGCTGTACCATTTAAGGTGGAACGGGAAAATTCGAACAAGAAGCCGACTTTGACAGTTGCTTGTTGCAGATTAAACGTATCAGGAAACCAGCTGAGTGCTTATAAATGCAAATAAGTCCATTCAGTTCCAAATTATCGATGTTCATCTTAAATCTCTATCTTTGCCTTTTCGTTAGGTACTAGCTAGGCAAGATTCTTGTCTGCATTGCTGTGGTGATCAGCAGTCTGTGTGCCAACCCTCAGGGTTAAAGGTTGGTGAATTAGCACTTACAGGCTGCATGAACTCCAGCATTTAAGACCATTTATTATTAAAACTGTGTTAGAACGATCAGCAGCGCTTTATTTTACTACAGTAGAGGATTATTTTATTTTTACCTAAAAATTGAATTCTGCTGTCAAGCCACAACAGGGCAGCAAAAGACCTGGAGCTGCATGTTGCAGACCCCTGGGCTAGGGGATGTGATAAAACTGGGGTATGAGGATGATGGCTGTTTGTTGCCCACACCAGCTACTGAACTCTCTTTTAGGGGCATAGCATCCTGCTGAGCTGCCCTGAAAGGTGTCTTTCCGGTGGACATCTGTGCAGTGGCCACATGGTTTGTTACTATGCACATTCCCCTGCTTCAACTGGCCTAGTACCGGCAGTTTGTCCCTGGGTTCAGGCTGCAGTTGAGGCACTCCTCGTGACATTGTAGATATAAGTCATCCACTTGGTAAGAACTGCCCTGGTGGTCAGAAATATAAAACATAACTCTAGTTACATATATAAGTGCGGTTGTGTGAGTAATAAATGACCGCCAGGGTTCCTGGTCACTTAGAGTCTGCGAGGAGAGACCTGGTTCAGGAGAAAGACTACAGTGTAACTCGATTAAATATAAGCTTGACTGCATCACATGCTGGTGTCAAAAGGTGACTGTTTGCCATACTTTCTTGGTCTACAGCTGGTACAGCTAGAGAACCACCCACTCAGTAAGAACCACCCTGGTGGTCATCCACTACTTACATAACCACAGTTACATCGGTAACTAGTGTTAACTACAGTTGTTCTGTATTGTTAAAAGACAATGTAATTGGGTTCCGCTTAGTCTTCATGGTCACCCTCTTAGCACAAGAGAAATCTCCTTCTGTAAAAGTCAATGCTTTCTTATTGCTTTTGCTCGTTTTTCACACACATTTCACACCATTTAAGGTTTTTCTTGATTGCTTACACACATTTAAGGGTACAGTGTCTCTGCTCCTGAATGCTTACGCACATTCTCAAAACACTACA